CACACACACACACACATTCCTTCACCCCTAAAACATTTTCCCTTGTGGCCTAAAATTTCACCAGGCTAGATCCAAATTAAAATTCAGATGGTTACTCACCCCCGCCCCCCAGCCAAGGGGGAGATACTACATTTGCCAACTTGCTTCCTAATGCCCTGAGAGCTGGTAGGCAGGGCCTTGGGATTGTGGATGGAGGCTGAGGGAGAGGACACCCAGCCCTGAGCCTGCGGTGGCCCCCATGACTGTGGAGACAAAGGGGCTGGTGCCAGAACAGAACCGCCACTCTCCCCTCCCCCAGCATTCTGAATCACGCTTCTGAGTGGCTGTGCCTGTGGGGTGGGGGGGGGGTGTGGTCACATGACCATGCACACCTGTGCCATGGCTCACCTCAGAGCCCTCACCTCCCTCCCTGCCCAGCAGCTAGCACTCTGATAGTCACCCACCCCACGCCCCTGCATTGTCCCCCTGTCTACCCCCACCACAAGTTGGTGATCAAGGGGCAGGCATCAAGGCCACCCCCAGGTTCAGCCCTGTAGGCCCCAAAACACAGAGAGGCGAGCTCTCCACTGTCCCTGGCCAGCTCAGCTTCTGCACCCCTCCCCTGTGTGCATAGTGCGCTGCTTGTCGCAGCCCCTGACACACCCCCACCTGACTCTTCCAAACCTTTTTTTGCTCTGCCCACCCTCCTCTAAGGTCCCCATCTGACCTCATCGCTCACGTCCTGAGAAAACAAGCCTCCGGGTTGGTCTAGCTCCCTCTAAATGCCCCCGTAAATCCCTAAATGTCTCTTTCCTCCATTTTTAGAAAAGTATGAGCTTTGAGCTTTCTTTCCACACCGGTCCTCCTCTAGGGCCTGGACAGAACCCCTCTCTCCTTGAACGCCTGACTTTCTCCCTCTACTCTTCTCCCTCCATAGCCTACAAACATATTCAAGTCTCCCCTTCCCTTAAAAATCTTCAATTAATCTCATCTCCTCCGTGGGCCCTCTTATAGCCCTCCTGCCCTTCCTGGAAGTGCACCCCACACCCTTGCATGTCCTGGCCAGGCCTGCCCCACACTCCCTGCCCTACAATCCTACCCTGGAGGCAGCACCGTCCCTCCTAAGTGTGCACTTGCCAAGGTCATCAGGCCCCACATTCAAACTGCCAGTTATCATTCCTTTTCTTTTTTTTTTTTAATAATAAATTTTATTTTTATATTCCCCATACAATTGCAGCCCCCCATTCTGACCCCAATCCCTCCCCTCCCACCCCCGCCCCTATCATTCCTTTTCTTACCGATGGCTTCGTGACATTGTACTTCCTCAGTCATCCCGCTTCTTTCAATATTTATTTCACCTTTAATAGTCTAGACCTTTGGCCAAAATATAAAAAAATCGCTAGATCACTCCCTGCCCTGAAAGAGCTGGCCAGCTCTTTTTCCTCCTCCTCCTCATGCCACATCTGGCTATTTTTTCCTTCTAATCCCCCAGGGTGTGGTAGTGACTTCCTTTTTCCCTTGGCAACCTTATGTTCAGACCACCTCCAGCTCAAATGGCTCCCAGATCTCTATTTCCTGCCAGCCTCTCCCCCAACCTCCTCTTCTTCCTGGACATTCCCACCTGTTCGCCTCCTCACTCACTTCAGTCTCAACCTGGCAAAAGGTGAACTCATTGCTTTCCCTTCTTCTGTCTCTGGAGCTTGCAACCTGCCGCTCCCCTGGGGCTCTCCAGGTCAAGTCCTATTTTGCACCTTCTGTCTCTAGGGTTTCTCCTACCATCACCTTTGGTCCCTTGTCCAAGTCTAGATCCCCGTAGACCCCTGCCTGAACTTTGGCCACAGCTTCCTTGCAGGGCTCTCTGGGGGCTGCCTATTCCTATTCAATCATCTCCCAGGCTGCAGCCAGATTCATTTTCCAAAAGCACTGGATCTGTCATTTATTGGCTTAAAAAAAATGTTTTAAGCATGCCACACACCCCCTACATCCCCCCATTGCCCACAGAATACAATCTAAATCCCCTAGCTGAGTTCACAGCCTTCACAAGCTGGCCCCCAACGTCCCACCCCAAGCCTGTCTCAATGTCCTAAGCCCTCTGATCCAGACATATTTGCTGTTCCCCAGACCTACCAGTGCATGCCCATGTCCTCACCCTCACTCACACTGCTTTCTCTTTCAGGAACCCCTTTTCAGTTTTTGCATGATCTCAAACTGGGCATCCTTCAAGGCCTAACTCAAATACTTCCTCCTCTAAGAAACCCTATTTATTTTCCTCTCCTCATATCCCACAGCAGTGATCACTCTCTCCTCTGACCTCTCACAGCTTCTCATACTATCTTATCTGGCACATGTAATGTTCTGCTTTGCATAGAGTTATCTCTATGATGTCTCATTTCTGGAGGGGCAGCTCAGTTCCTTTGACTCATCTTTCTGTTCTCCATAACACTCAATATAGAGTGTGGCGCTCTGGGCATTGCAGAAAGTCTTTGATGAAAGGATGGAAAAAACAATACATGAATGGGTGGGTAGATGATGGATGGACAGGTGAGTAGGATGAGTGTATGTGTGTATGTATGAATGTATGTATGTATGTATGAGTGGATGATGGATAGATGGGTGAGTGGGTGGATGGATGGATGGTGGATAAATGAATAAATGGATAAGTGAGTGTGTAGATGGATGGTGAATACATGAGTGGGCACATGGATAATGGGTTAGAGTCTAGGGCTAAGCCAAAGTATGGCTAATTTGTCAATGGCTTTTACCAAAGTAAAGGTCAGAGATGAGTGACAGGGAATTAACAGGTCTTCAGATATTTTTTAGAGTTTACTATGGTTGCCAGGCACCTAGTTAAAAACATTACAAAGTGAGTACTAAGAAGGCAAGAGAAGAATGAAGCCCTGGAATGGAGTCTTTCCGTGGGCACCAAACACCTACTGTGCCTTTGATGGCCAGTCTTGTCTTGGAGTTGCCTTGGCTCTGGAATTCCATAGGGACTTGAGAACAGTGGCAGAATCTAATCTATGTCTGTGATGCACCTGGCACTAATCTATGCACTGTGATGCATTTGGCACTGTGAATCATATCAATGCTGAAGACACAGTCATTTTCAGCTCCATGACTCTAGACAAGTTTTTAACCTCTCCAGGCCTCAGTTTCCCCATCTGTAAAATGGGTTTACCTTGTGGAGTTATTATAGAGATGGAGTTATTATAGATATAAACTATTTGTCAAAGTACCTAATTAACATGAGTATTTAAAAAAATGATAGCTGTTATTATTATTGTTTAGCCCTCCAACAGTTCGCAGTTGTTCTAATTAGGGAAAAAACATGTTCTCATGTCAGGCAACATGTAATCAAGGACTAAGTTGGCTGGTTCTCTTTTAAGTCACACTGGGATTCAGAGACGGGCTTATCAGTGAGGACTAGAAGTGTAGGGGAGCTCTCCCAAAGGAAGAGGGCTTAAGATGATGGACCTTGAAAGATGGTTGGGATCTGAGAGACTCGGAAGTGGACAGAGAACTGGAGATGGGCATGCCTCAAAGCAGGAGCGGGAGTGAGGGCTGCTTGTGCTGCAAGTGGGTGGTTTTGGTGGTGGAGACAGTGAGTAAAACAATGGCCTGATACAAAGTAGTAGGTGATAAGACAGAGAACACCAGTGACCTCAGTCTTTCATGATTCTCCATCTCAAAGAACACTTTAGAAAAGTCAACTAAATTCCTCAGTCCTTGGGGGACGGAAATAATAATAATAATCACTAACACTCCACATAGAATTGTGATGTTTTCAGCACTTGACATGTTACTACTGATCTAATACCCAGAGCAGCCCTATGACACAGAAACTATTACTCGTCCCCATTTTACAGATAACAAATGTGGCACAGAGAGAAGTAATTTGCCCAAGGTCACACAGCTTCTGAGAAGCAGCGTCTGTACTCACACCCAGGCTGTCCAGTCTGAGCCTTTGGTCTTAACCACCACATGGTGTTGCCTCCTGCCGGTACTTTCTGTAACCATTAAGGCTCTTCATTCTGGCTTATTGCCAGCACATGGAAAGGTGCCCCACTGCCACTATCGCACTGGAAACTCAGCCAGGTGTTCACTGAATGGTTATTGTGTCCACTGCGGGGGTGGCGTGGGAGGGATGACTCTAAGAGAGTTATGGAGAAAGGACAGGAAAGACATGGGCTGTGGCTCCGGGAATCCATAGTCTGCTGTAGCGGACAGCACCCAAGTGCCTAGGCCCGGCCCCGGGATGCCTCCCTGCTGAACTAGGGGCGCTGATTCGTGGAAGTAGCACTTCAGAGGGCAGCCTCACTGGAGGGCAGCCTTGCCCGCATCGGGTGCTTTTCCAAATGCCTGTGAGACTGGGGGGGGGGGGGGTAGTGTAGTCTCTGCAGGCAAAGGGAGTGGAGTCTCCCTTCGCTGGGTGGAACCCTGCACAGAATGGCAGCCCCACCCCCACTGACCTGACCACCTCGTGCCCAGTCGGCTTCCTTCCAGCCCCTGTTCCCATGCGTCCACCTCCTTGCCATGCGTCCCTCTGTGCTGTCTTCTGGGCTTAAGGTGGCTTCGTGGACAGTAGATTGAGGGGGAGCGACATGGGGGAGACCAGCATGGAGCCGGAGAGAGAGGTCATGGCAGAGGCCGAGGGCAGCGAGAAGCCGGGCGTGAACTGGACTGTGGCCCGTTGCGCAGGGCAGGGCAGGTGTGACCAAGCAGTGTGACCAAGCAGGGATGGACAGGCTGCACCGGCCGGGCTCTGGCCCCTGCCGTCATTTCCTTTCCAACCAGAGAACAATGGCTCAAAAAAACAAGCGCAGGCCATTCACTCCCCCGCCTCGGTCCACACGCCTGGCTTTCCTCTGGGCCCAGGAGGGCCCTGGCGCCGCCCTTGCGCCCAGCTCTCCCCACTCCCGGCGGAGCCAAAGGGGGCCGCTCCCGCCCCCCCTCTGGGATCCCGGGGCCCAACACCCCTGGCTGGCACGTTCTTCCTCCGCTTCCCCTGCCAGGCCCAGCGCTCGGTCAGCAGCCGGGGGAGTCGCCGAGGGATGAGGAGGCCACAGCGCGGTGGACAGCCACCTCTGCTCTCGCGCAGCGCCCCGGAGCCGGGCAGAGCCTGACGTCCTGCCGTCTCCCTTCGCGCACAGGACCCTGCTAGTGACCGACCCGCTGGCTCCCTGCTGCATGGAACGGCTGCAGAAGGTGTGCGGGGGCGGCACCCAGGCCGCCAGTGGGGTGCCGGGGCCAGCGGGTGGGAGCCAAGTCGGGGATCGGTGATGCCACCTGGTGGTTGCCGGCTGCGCCGCACCCCGGGGCCCCGGAGGCCTAGGGAAGCCCTGGGGAGGGGCGGCCTTCTGAAGCGCCCTGCCTGGCCCGCACACGCACGCACATTCCCACCCGCCTTCTCGCTCTTCCCAGCAACCACTTACCTCCCCTGGGAGCGTCAGCTCCTCCCGAGACTCCAGCGTGCCCGGCTCTCCCTCCAGCATCGTGGTGAGTACCCTAGGCCCCCCGAGCCTCAGGCTGGGAGGAGGGGGGCAGGGGCGCCGTCCTTGCTGGACCGCTGATTCGCTCAGAGCCTCCGGAGTGATAGTCCTGCTGGAACCCACGTATCCAGAGAAGCTTCTCTACACCCTCTTCCACTGGTCAGGTGTGGTGGTACCCCAAGTGCTAGGCCACTGGCTATCATTTTTAAGGCTACCACTGAACCCCTTAAAATTCAAATACTAGAATTATTAACTTACAAGAACTGTTATCTAAAGCCGCCACCTGTTTTCTTCCTACTACATGGCAAGTCTGGCTTGTAAGGAGAGTATTGTAGGTGAGGCTTTCTGCATATTCATTCCTCTTGTTCTGTTCCCCCTCAGGCCAAGATGGATAATCAGGTGCTGGGCTACAAGGACTTGGCCGCCATCCCCAAGGACAAGGCCATCCTGGACATTGAGCGGCCTGACCTCATGATCTATGAGCCCCACTTTACCTATTCTCTCCTGGAGCATGTGGAACTGCCCAGAAGCCGGGAGGTGAGGGGTGGGAAGTCCCTCTTGAACAGGACTGGAGGGAAGGGCTGCCCCGGCCACACTGGTGGGCCGTGGAATGCCCTTCCTGCTCTCTTTCCTGGGGGCGGACTCCCAACTAGGAAAGAGAGCTGTGTGCGGGAATCAGCCTGCTGACCTGTGTTGGTGAGAGCAGGAGAGGGGTTGGAGTGGAGGGTAGCTCTATGCGGAGAGTGGGAAGGCCATGTTTGAATGGTGGCAGGACCTGGGGCTTGGGTAGGAGCAGGGAGGAGTGGGCAGAAGGAGAAAGAATTGTGGAAGGCACTCAGGAGCACTGAACTCAGAGGTTGGAAGTCTTGCTCAGTGACCTGTGTTAATGTGTGGTCTCAGTTTCCCCTCCAGTAAAGTAAAAGTGATACAGCTGCCTGTCCGCCTCACTAGGTAGTCAAGCACACGAGGTAACACACAGCAGGTACTTTGTAAACTGTGTTTGAGAAAGGGGTGAGATGGGGCCAGGCTGTGGGGAGGCCCTGACTCCATCCTGGATGCTGGTAGGTCTTGTCCCTCCCACTCACTGCCAGGCTCCGAGGACAGGGACTTAACCATCTCCAGGTAGGCCTGGAGCACAAGGACACTGCTCCACAGTCCATGGCTGCTTCCTGCATCCAAGGGATAGAAGGGACTCTGCTAGGAGGGAGACAACGGCGGGATAAGAATGCAGAGGCAGCTCTGGGAACTGGTAGGATTGAGGGAGAAGAGGTGATCAGATATTGTCAAGGCAAGGATGCAGAGCTGAGTAGGGGATGAAGAGGCCCGGGGGGTTGTAGGGACAAGGGTTTAATTCTATGTGTGGCTCTGACCAGCCTGCTCTCCATTCGCAGCGCTCGCTGTCACCCAAATCCACATCCCCCCCACCATCCCCAGAGGTGAGTCTGCCCCACTCTGACACTTGTCCAGCCCTGCTCTGACAGGGCCCAGCTCCCCTTCCCCACACAATTAGACCCGGCTCTGCAGGGCCCAGGCGGTGACAGAATCAGTGGCTCTCATCCTGTTACTGGCCGGCTCTGTGCCCAGCTATCTGTCTGACCCGGGGCCTCATTCACCCTTTTTCCCTGGGCCAGGCACCATCAGCAGGCTGAGTCCTTGGACATCCTTCCTCTTCCCTGGGGCTGGGGACATGTGGGCCATTAGGGTGGGGAACAGGATGGTGGAGTGAGGTGAAGTAGCATCTCCATGGGTTGGAGGGGGTAGGTTGGGGACCTGGATGCTGCAGGGAAACACATTTGTGCTCTGCAGGTGTGGGCGGATAGCCGGTCCCCTGGAACCATCTCTCAGGCTACAGCCCCAAGGGCTACTGGCACCCCCCGGACCAGCCTCCCCCATTTCCACCATCCTGGTAGGTCAAACTGTAAACTTGGCTGCATCCTTCCCCTTCAGGAACCCAAGCTCCCTCCTCTCAGTTCCTTACCCTCTGGAGTATTTGCTCACCATGGAATTGGCCACCACAAAACTGGGTCCCCAATGCCAGAACCCCAGGAGAGTTCCCAGAGATGGTTGGTCCTGCTGCATTTTCCTCCTTCAGAAAAATGCAACAAGTCCCCACCCTGAGGAGCAGCTCCAGGAACTTCAGTTCTGCCTTGGCTGTTGGCAGGAACCCTTGAATTTCCTACCTTCTACTGTTCCATCTGTCTCCATTCACTTTCCGGACTTGGCCTTCCCCACCATCACCACACCCTCCTTCCCTCCTCCTCATCCGCTCTTGCTCCCTCTCCACAGAGACCACCCGCCCAGATTCCAACATCTACAAGAAGCCACCCATCTACAAGCAGAGAGGTGAGGGTTTCCCTAATTGAACCCTGGCCTACCACATGGGGGGTGGGGGGCTGTCCTTAGTACTAAGGGCTGACACTAGCTGTAGCTTCATGACCCATCCTACCTTTGCCCCGTGCTCTTGGTTGCGCATTGCTTTTAAATCATGATCTCAGGTGAAGGCCGAAAAGCAGGAGTTGGGGGCTATGGGTAGACTAATGTGGCCTCCAGGGCAGAGTGTGCCTGGACTGACCCTGACCTCCATCTGCAGAGTCCATGGGAGGTAGCCCTCAGAGCAAGCACCTTATTGAGGACCTCATCATCGAGTCATCCAAGTTCCCTGCAGCCCAGCCCCCTGACCCCAACCAGCCAGCCAAGATCGAAACTGACTATTGGCCATGCCCCCCATCGCTGGCCGTTGTAGGTAAGAGGAGCTGTTGGAGAGTAGTAAGGTGAGGACAGCACCTCACTGACCTCCCTCTTGACTCCCATTGAACCCCTCTGAACTCACTCTCACCCCAACCCCCATCCTGTGTTCTAGTGTCGCTGTGTGCTTTTTACCACCTTCGCGGACCCTCCGGGCTCAGTTGTCCCTTTTTATTAATCACTTTATTGTTCACTTTCCATTCACTTATTGAATCACTCAACAGACATTTATCAAATTTCGACCTCATCCTAGGCTCTACGATAAGAGCTCTTGCAAAGAGAAAGAGAAATAAGACAAGATCTTGGTCCCCAAGATCTAGAATTTAAGTTGCGTGAGCGCGTCACGGAAAGGCCGGGACATGTTGCCTTTATTATTCTTTTCGTAACTGAAGTGTTCTCTTTAAGGTGCAGTCAGCACTGAGGCCCTGATAAGCACCTGCTGAGCCCCAGGGCCATGGGCTGATGGTCTGTTCTGGCCTGTTTTCTCAGAGACAGAATGGAGGAAGCGGAAGGCGTCTCGGAGGGGGGCAGAGGAGGAGGAGGAGGAGGAAGAAGATGACTCTGGGGATGAGATGAAGGCTCTCCGGGAGCGGCAGAGAGAGGAACTCAGTAAGGTAGCACTCGCTGCCCTCGGCGCTCCCACCCTGTCTGGTCTTGGGGACAGAAGTTCTGGTTCCATGGAGATTCTCTTCTAAATGGGCTTGTGTCTGAAGAGCATGCTGGTCAGGCAGGCGAGGACTCCCCCTTATTTCCCAGGATTTCGGGTGCTGCCTAGAGGGAACACCTGTACTTCATGCTGCCCTTTGGGGGACAGTACTCAAAGTTAGGGTCAAAGCACAAAAAAATGGCCCTGCTAGTGCCAGGCTTCAGCAGACGGAGAATGAGAAGTGCACGGGAACAGGAGGACGGAAAGAGCAGGCTCTGGCCCCCCGGGAGGAAAGGGCGTTTGATGCTCTGGAAGGCCAGGGATGTGAGCTTGTGCTCCGGGCCTGGTGACCTGGGACAGGGTGGGGTTGCACTGAGCAGCTCCGACTCCTGCTCTCAAGGCAGCCGAACCCCAGTGGCCGAGCCTTGGACCACAACACAGGTTCTGTGGGTCCAGGGTCTGACTCTGCCCTCAGGAAAGCAATCTCTAGACCTGCCTGCAGTCTACCCAACTCTGAACGTCCTGGGGATGAGAAATGAATTTCTAAGTCTCAGCTCCACCTTCCTGCCTACCTCCTCAGGTTACTTCCAACTTGGGAAAGATGATCTTGAAGGAAGAGATGGAGAAGTCACTGCCTATCCGGAGGAAAACCCGCTCCCTGCCTGACCGGACCCCTTTTCACACCTGTGAGTGCCATGGAGGGAGCTGGAATCACTGGCCAGGCCCAGAGGCTGGCATCAAGAGGTCTGTTGCATTTGGCTGCCGCCCACCTGGCACTGTGCTGTCAGGAGCATAAGAGACCCAGCATGTGGGCGCTGCGTCAGGCACTCGTGCCCTCCTTCAGGCAGGAAACCTGTCATGGGGCAGGAGGAATTGATGGCAAAAGATCATCAACTAAAGTGAAGGAGCAAATTTAGTTTAATAAGCATTTATTGAGGTCTCCTGTGTGCTAGGCACTGGGAAACACAGGCTAAACAGATATGTTCCTGTCCCCCTGTGACTTCTGGTCAGTAAGAAAAGTCACAGGGGTTTAAACTGGGGTTTCCGGGCAGAGTGGAGAGTTGTGGTGAGATGAGACTGTTACTTTTGGGGCTTGGGAGGGGTGAACTGAATCTTATTAAATAACGAAAACGTGAATGTGGTCGAGAAAGGTTTCTGGTGCAGTCTGGAACAGGAAGCAGCCTGGCAAGCTCCATGGCCTCCGGCAGCCTGGCATTAGAGAGCCAGAGTGTGCCGTGAAGAGTGGGAACCAGGCTTTGGATACAGCACTTCTGACCACCCAAATCTAGCCCAGACTTCCTTCGAACTTGGTGGCTGGAAAGGAGAGGGGGATCAGAGAACCCCAAACTACAAGTTACAGGGCCCCTAAGAGCCTGGCCTGGAGTCTCTGGTCATCACTCTGCTGCAGCCTCGTGGTCAGAGCAGCTCAGCAGGCAGCCCAGACCCCAGGGAGGACAAAGAGATGCCCCTCGCTGAGGCAAGGGACCGCAGCTTCAGGATGGGAGGTACATTGCAGGCCATCCTTGGAGACAGCCTGCTGTACTTTCCAGTAGTCTAGGGAAGGGCTAAAAACACACCCTGTCCAGAGGAGAGGAAGGGCTTGAAGAGTGAGTGGGAGGTGGGGTTGGCTGCATTCAGCGGCTGTTTGGGGGTGGGAGGTTCAGGATAGATGAGTTGGGTTTCATCTTGGTGCCAGGTGATGATGAATCTGGAACTGAGATCATGAAAGATGCAGGTTTGGGGAAAGATAAACTGGTTTGGGTGTTTGGGGCTTGAAGTACCCTATGTGGGCGTGGAGGTGGGACCTGAGTCTGACCCAGTGGGAAGCTTGAGGGCCAGTTGAGCTCAGGTAGAGTCCTCCGCATATTTGTATTAGTAAGACCATGAGAAAATGAGCCCTCCAGAGGGGAGCAAGGGGAGGGGAGGGCACTGGAGACTGTGCCCTGGAGAGCACTTGCATGTAGATGCAGTGGAGGCTGCTGGGGGCAAAGCTGGGCTGGGGATGTGGGAGGCTGGCTTTTAGAGGCCTCTTTCTCTAAGGGGTAGGGACCAAGACCTGGGAAACTGAGGTTGTCTGCTGAGCATAGAGGGTGAGGCTTGGTGAGGTTGGTTGTAGTGCCAGGAAGGCACAGTGCAGGATCTCTGTGATCCGGGCAGATGGGTAAAGGAGAGCCCTGGAGCCCTCGGTGGATTTTTCGGGCTTTTTTTTTTTTTGGTGGGACCCTCGCCGGCGGCCGGGCAGATGGGTAAAGGAGAGCCCTGGAGTCCTCAGTGGATTTTTCGGGTTTTTTTTTTTTTTTTTTTTTTTTTTTTTTTGGGTGGGACCCTCGCAGGCGGCCGGGAACGAACCGGCGCTGTAGAGGCTGCGGGCAGCCTCTGCAGCCCAGTGCTCAACCGCTGTGCCACCAGGGGAGGCCCAGATTTTTCAGGCTTTTACTGAGCTTTTACCAGGTACATGGCAGGCAGGGGGGCCGGCCTGCCGGCCTCCCAGTCCCCTGTGAATCTTCACTCTTTCTGGGCTCTCTGGCATTCTCTTGTGGTCTCTGCTTCTCTGCTGGTTCTGCTCATTCTCTGCTACCCTTTTCCTCTCTTGTTCTCTCCTGGCGTCCCCATGATGCCACCCTTATAAGCCCAGTCTCAGCCCAGATGCACCCACCTATGCATTACTACTCCAGGTGTCTGCCATCAGGCATGCATTAATTAATGCTAATAGTGGGAGGGCAGAAAAGCCCGATAATTTTTCACTTACCCTACATTGGTATAGTCTAGAATAGTTTCTAGAAGGAGATGAAACTGACACAGACTTGGCATCTGTGGGGATACTAATCTTGCTGCTGTGCAAGCTGTGTCCCGTGGCCGGCAGGCAGGAAGGGTACCTGGACCTATCCAGAGTCAGCTCTGTAAGGAAGGGTGTCGGGGCCAGGTTGAGCTGCTGAGTGCTAGTGAAAGCATTAAGGTAGCCAAGCTGCTGTGCTGGGAAGGGGACTAGGGGGAAGCTACAAACAAAGAAGGCAGGTGTGGGCTCAGAACGGGGTCTCAGAATGGGGTCTCCAGGTTTACATGTCAGTAGGAAGGAGATCCAGGGTAGCTATTTGAGGGGGTTGCCTGATGAAGGGTGGAGCTGGGGGAGTCAAGTAACTACAAAGGTTTATATATGGCTAGGAGATCCCCAAAGCTTCCAGGATGATATGTTAGTATGCGTGGCTATAGTCATAGTAGGCCTGTGAACAGTTTCAGCTGAAAATATGACACAGGTAGAAAGATCTTTTGAAGGTTTTATATTCAGTCTCCAGGTTCCATCAGAATTTGCTGTTCTGTCAAAATTCGCTCTTTAACTTCCATTTTGGCTTTTTAAACTTCAGTAGCCAAGTGCCCACCTCGCATCATAGCCGAGGTCCTTACACTTGTGAATGATCAGTGATGAGAGGATTGAGTAGGTTTCTGTAGCTCATCAAGCTCAACAAGTTAGAATCATGAACAGGTGTGTCATTCTGATTTGATAATTAAAAGAATCACTTTCAAACATAAATAAGCATTCGAGAAGAAACTTGGAGGGAAAATCTTTCTGGCATTTTGTAGGTTGAAGTTCTATCAGTCAGTTGAAGTAGAAATGTACACTAACTTCAAAAGTGAAATGCTTCATTGGTGAATGATGATTGCAAAAGTGATCGTTTTATGTAAAAAAATAAATAAATAAAAGCATTAAGGGGAAAAATAACCCCAAACACATTTTGTTCTCACCCATCAAACTTGCAAACAACTTCCAGTCCTTACCCAGGTTGTCATAGAATGCAGCCATTTCTGGTAACAGGAGATGGAGAAGTAGATTTAAGATCTGCTCAAACTAAGAATCTTAGGTCGTACAAAATCCTTTCCAAGAGAAGCCACTACTGATACAAATTTTCTTGAATTACAGTCTGCGGTGCTGGAAAGCCTAGTGAGATTAGGGAATGTGCAAGTTGAACGTGACAGCTGGTCATGCAAATGTGAGCTTGTACAATTGAGCAGCTGAAGGTGCAGAGAAAATTGCTTCTGTGTTACAGCATCAAACACTTGAAATTTGATTACTGACAGTTATAATAAAAATATAATACCCTGATTCTTTTTACTGAATTGAAGATTTATGTTTGTACCCCAGAAATTCATGTTATGAACCTCTGCTTTGGCTATCAATTTTAACATTCAGGCATCTGGCCCAGATGTGTATTTGCGGTGTAGTATTTAGAGAGGGGACAAGTCAGAGACAGTCCAGGGCTGCCAGCTCAGTGTCTCTTACTGAAGGTGATGGGCAGGAGCTGGAAGCCAACAGAGTCTTACCAGGTTCCCCCAAGCCCACCCTGGCGGGGGGACAGGGAGGGAGTCCTCTCGCAAATGACTGTCAGGCCAAAGGGACTGACAAGGCCTCTTGTCTTCCAGCCTTGCACGCAGGAACATCTAAGTCTTCTTCTCTCCCGGCCTACGGCAGGACCACCCTGAGCCGGGTAAGGTCCCAGACCAGAGATCACAGACTACAGGGCAAAGTGGGCATGCGGGGCCTCAGAGGGACTGGGCTACTCGGCATCCTGAAGAAGGGGCAAGACCCTTAGAGTGAAGGGGCACAGTGCAGATTACTCAGCTCCGCTAACCCCATCCCATCCTGTCCTTTCTAGCTTCAGTCCACAGACTTCAGCCCATCATCGGGGAGTGAGACTGGAAGCCCAGGTGAGAAGTGGGGAGAGTCTGGTGCCAGCAAGCTGGGAGAGGGGCATCTGTGCCGTGGGCATGGCTCTGTGGCTGGAGGTCAGGGAGGCTGAGCGGGTAGGTTGGAGGCCTGCTGAAACAGAGCTGTCTCAGTAATGCTGCTTCTCTCCCTCAGGCCTGCAGGTGAGTGTCATCCGGAGGGGAACACGGAGCACCAAAAGCTGGGACTGGCAACTGGCAGTGTCAGGGGAGGGGGGAGGGGGGCCACTGAGTTACTGGTGAGAAGCAAGAAGCATAGGGTAAGTCTGGGGAGGTCTCCCTGCCCCACTCTGGCTCACTGCGGCTTTGGTCTCCCCAGAACGGAGAGGGCCAGAGGGGGAGGATGGACCGGGGGAACTCCCTGCCCTGTGTGCTGGAGCAGAAGGTGAGGGGCAGGGGTAGAGCCAGGGGTGGTGGGAGGGCACATACCATCTACCATGGGGGTGGGCCAGCTAGGGGAGAAGCCAGAGAAGTGAATGCGCTAAGGGGGCCTCCTGGAGTTGAGGTTGGGAGGGGCAGCAGGCAAGTTGGGGACTATGAATGGCAAACTGGCATGAACCCCAGTGGCCCCTGAAGGCTGATATGGGGGGTCTGGGGAATAGAGAGGGTTATGTAGACTGGGACCTCTATGAGCCTGAGACAGCCCTCGCCCCCTCCCCCAGATCTATCCCTATGAAATGCTGGTGGTGACCAACAAGGGGCGAACCAAGTTGCCTCCAGGTGTGGATCGGATGAGGCTTGAGGTAGGCTGGGAAAATGTCCTGGGGGTGACAGGGCTACCCATGGGCTGCCTGCTGGGGAACCTGGGGCCTCTTTGTCTGAATGCCCCCTTCAGGCACTCGTCCCAGCCCCACGCCCTGTGTTCCCCTTACAGAGGCATCTGTCAGCTGAAGACTTCTCAAGGGTATTTTCCATGTCCCCCGAAGAGTTTAGCAAGCTGGCTCTGTGGAAGCGGAATGAACTCAAGAAAAAGGCCTCTCTCTTCTGATCACCCCACCCTCTCCACGACAGACCCTCACCCCTGCTGCTTCGGGGCTCCGGAGTGGGGGTCACTAGACCTCAAAGCATCATCTCTAGGGGGAGCAGTGAGGGAGCTCAGGTGGGGTTGCTCCATCCCCCGGGTGGAGGGGCTCAAGACCTCTGCGGTGCCAGAGCTCTGGGACACGGACCTTCTTCCCCACGACGAGCCTGCGAGCCTGCGTGCTCCTTTCCTCACCCCTGGTCCCCATGGCACATGTGGTCTAAAATCCCGCACACGGAGTGAAAGTGTGTGCCCTCTCCCTGCCCCCCCCCCACTTGAAGTTCCCCAGAAGAGAGCAAGGAGAAAAGGACGTGGTACTTAGTGGTCAGGCCTGTCCTGACCAAACGGTGTGTCGCACCCTCAGGCCTGGTAGGAGGGTAAAGGTGGGGCAGCCAGGCAGGCGGGGAGAGCTCCAGGACCCTATGTGCCCGAGCGCTCCCCCTCGCCTCCCCTTAACAGCACCCCCTGCACTGGGCATCTAAGCAAGCCAGAGCTCAGCCTCCAGCAGGGAATCACCTGCTGTCCAGCTTGCCCTGTCCTCTCCTGGCAACCCCCAAGCTTCAAAGCCTCTTGCTCCAGCCCTGTGGCTTCCCCAGAAGCCCTGGCTTAGAGTGGAGATGTCACCTATCCAAAATCCCAGCCCACTGTCAGTCTCCAGGCAGAGTCAGCTAGAATCCTACCTTCTAGCACCAGCTCAGGTCCTAGGCACAACCTAGGCCTTCAGGCGCCCTTGGATGGGATCAGCAGGCCAGGCTACCAGGCAACCCGGTGTCCTGGCTACCAGGTCCCACCCACACCCATGCACCCCTAACTATGCTCTCTAAAGAATGTAATTTATTGGGGTACCCCCCCAGCTGCTTTCTTCACCTAACTCTCTGCCATACCTTATTCACACTCCCAGCTTTTCTTCTCTACAGACATATATGTGTATATAATTATATATATATATATATATATATATTTTTGCCTGGATCTGGGTTTCGTTCCTGCCCAGACTCTGGCATCCCTTTCCATTGTGTATATGTGATAATGCTGGGGGAGGGGACTCTGCTTGGAATTAAAAGGTTGCATTGGGTCCCCAAATCTATTTGTCCTTTATGAGCCACCAGATCCAGGTGAGAGGGCAGGCTGGAGGGCGCAGTGAAGGATGAGGATTCAAATGGGATCTACAAGGTTGGGGGGTAGAGATGGCACGCACATTGCCTTTCCCCCACTCCCAGGCTGCAGAAGCAGATGCTAGTCCTGCAGGGTCCCATCTGCCTCCTTTCCGTGGGCTCTGTAATGGCGGCTTGGAGGAGGGGCCACAAACTCACTGGAGCCTGATGTGAGAGTGAGCTAGGAGGAAAGGCTGCTCCACTGAGCCCCTAGATGCCCCCTGAAGACTTGCGCCTCAGCATTGACATGACTGCGCCTCCAGGACCTCAGATACAGGTCACTAGGTAGGCCAGACACACAGAAAGAGTCAGCAGCGTGTGAATAGGCAGTGAGCTGATTGTAAAGACCCGGCAGAGAGTGCTAAGGGATGGAGACAGGACCGGATGCAATATAGCAGAAGCGAGCTCAGGTGAGACCCAGGGAGGAGGGTGGTAATTTGGTCTTGGCTGATTTGGCAAGGCCTCGCCAGGGATTACACATGGCACTGACCTGTTGAAGAGGGTGAAAGGATAGAAATTCTATCAGAAGATCTGCAGGACTGTAGACTGGGTGTGGGTGCTTGTGGGGGAGGGGCTGCCGTGCCTTACTGGAGCAGAACCACCACGTGGGTGCAGTGAAGAGGCTACCAGGTGAGCTGGAGAGGGACCCCCAGAATGAACTAAACCTGGAAGTGGGACCTGACCCAAGTATCCTGCCACTGGGAAGAGTTTCCAGCCCCTTTGGCTGAAATAAGAGCAAAATGGCGAAAAATCAGTCAAATGCGAATGCTTATTTTAAGTTGTAGGATATCTGCTGTGCCATGACACCGCTTTATCCTTTGCAACCACCTGTGAGGTCAACAGGACAAATCAGTTTAATCCTTTCCATGAATGAGCAAATTGTCGGCTAGATTCATCTGAAGCAGGCAGCAACATGCAGTGGAGTGAAGAGTGGAATTTTGTGACCACGAACCCAGGACTTCGCCCATGTACATGTAGCTGTCTCTCAGGGGACAGGAGAGGCGGTCAGGCTAGGAGGCAGAGAGAGAGGGAAGGTGCCACTACCTGGCATTGGGCATCGAGTAGGGGGGCTGTTCCAGTGTGATGGAGAAAGTAGTGACAAGGCCAGCACCCCCGTGTCCAGGGAGCTCCTGGGCTATTGAGCACTAAGGGGTGCTGAAGGCAGTGTTTAATCACAGTTCACTGCAGATGTTTGTGGAGGGGAAAGGATGGACACTAAGCCCCAAAGGATTTTATGTTCCTAAGAATTTAGAGCCTCTCAGTGTAGTACTGTCTCCAAAACAAAAATCTTATAAGGTCTCTCCACAAAACACACACAAATGCAGAACCTTGGTGATTAGTCCAGTGGCTTCCAAACCATTTTAACACTAGATCTTACTATCAGTGAAAAGAATACATTTATAAATCGAATGTTATAGTTAATTATTATGAAATCAATGAGAACAAAGAAGATATTTGATGAATAAAGAATGTCTAAGTCAGGGGTTATATATGACAGTTGCCTTTTTATCAAGTACAGGATCTAATTTACTATTAGGTTGCACATTTTCAAGAAAATTCTGATTCACACAAGGCACAAAATTGTGGCCGTTTGTAAATATGTACGAATCTGTTCACATTCCTGTTGAGAGGCAGCATTTGTGTCCCCTTCCTGGGATCTGGGGTTAGTCACTTGCTCATTTAAAACTGTTTGCCGTGCCACAGCCGCTTACCTCATTTAAGCTGACAGGAGAGGCTTTATTCTAAGTTCTCCCAAATGAAGCAGAATTGAAATTTATCAACGGGAGCTAACACTTTTGGCATGGATGTATGCAGAGTTTTCAAAATAAAAATTTAAAAGTTAAGCCAAATAAAAGGTTATAAATTTCTGAAGCACTTGCACTCTATCCTACAACTCCCTGAAATGTGCTGAGGGGGAAGCTGATTTAATGCAGTGGGCTTCTTTCTCCTGTTAGCAGGTGGGCCCAGAATGGTGCTGGACTAGACTACAGTCTCAGGCTCTCTGTTGCTTCTGGGTAAACAAAACAGTCTTGTTTATTTCCTTTGTTCTTTACACATTTCACCTAAAAGCCTCTTCTCCTTTTCCAAAAGGCTGCTCATCCAGGGACCTGTTTGCAGATGAACTATTTGAAAACATCTATTTTTCCCAAGCAGCGGTCAGAACTGAGATCCGAATGCCAGCTCAGGCTGGTCTTGGCCAAACCCTGGCCTTCTCTAGGGCCCAGACCCTGGCCGCCTCCTGACTCAGTCTGGACTACAGCCCCACTGCAGGGCACACTGCCAAGGCTAGGCAGTCCATCAACTCCCACTCAGTTCCTCTGGTGGGTAGCGTCCAAAAGGCAGGGTCGGTGGTTGAAACCCTGAGGCTCCACACAACAGGTTCTACATTCTATGACATGCAGACTACTCCCCTGCCTTAGTGGGACCCTAACGCCTCACCCTTTCATCACACCAGGTCAGTAGTCAGCAGAAATACTTCCGGAAGATTTCCTTCCTTTCCTGGCAGGATGGAGGTGGTAGCTGGAACTGGGGCTCTAACCAGGCAGAGTTGGCGGCTAGAGGCCTTGCGCTCCTGTGGACATTCCAGAACCCCTGCTCGGGTTGAGGGTTTTGTCTGCATACTTCTTGAGAGTAATTTTCCAGGGTGTGTCCCCCACCTCACCCCACCCCCACGGGAGACCCGCCTTGTGTTTCTTTCCTTGGTGCAGTCAGAAAGGGCAAACAGGGGGGCCTCCCTGGTGGCGCAGCAGTTGAGCGCTGGGTTGTGAAGCTGCCTGCAGCCTCTGCGGGGCCGGTTCGATCCCCAGCTGCTCCCCGGCCACCGGAGGAGGGTCCCGCATGGCGCGCAGACCTCTCCTGCCGCCCGCTGCTCCCCTCAGCAGTGTACTTCAGTCCCTCTGCCTGCTCTGCTCCCCGCTCTGGCTCTGGTGAATTCTCTCACCGTCCCGCGCTTCTGACTGTACCCAGTGCATGTATAAACAAACAAACAAACAAATAAATAAATAAAACATGCCTCTATAAAAAATAAATAAAAATAAATTTAAAAAAAAAAAAAAAAAAGAAAGGGCAAACAGGGGCCAGCTGACTCGCCCTGCAGGCCATCTGAACGGTGCTGTAGCCACTTAAAATAACAAGCAACAAGTGACATTCGTTTTATTAATTTATTTACCCCAATATATTACCGTTTCAGCATGCAATCAATAGAAAACATCAGTAGGCTCTTTCACCTCTTTTCTTTTTCCCACTAAGTTATCAGAATCCGTATGTGCTCTGCGTTCAGCACATTTCAGTGCTCAACAGCCACATGTGGCCAGTGGCTGCTGTGTGGACAGGGGGTGGCGGTGGGGGCGGGGGTCGAGAGCGTCACAGAAACCATAAATCGTATTCTTCCAGGAAAAAGCCTCCCCATTCTCTGCCACAGGCTCCCCACGGCGCCCCAGGCAGGCTTGGACGAGCTAGTCCGCTGCGGCCCCTCGGAGGCCGGCGCCCCCACCCGCTTCCTACCCCTGCCCGCTGGCCGGCGCCCCCAGCCCGGCCGGGCGGGCCAGGCCAGGGCCCCGCCTCCCTCGCCCGCCTGGGGCCGCCTCCTCCGACCCGAGCTCCGCCACCGCCGCCGCCGCCGCCGCCCGGGAGCCGGGCCGGGCCGGGCCGCCATCATGCTGAGCCGGCTCGGGGCGCTGCTGCAGGAGGCCGTGGGGGCGGTGAGGCCGGGGAGCTGGGGCGGGCCGCCGGGTGGCCGCGCCGGGGCTAGGCCGGAAGGGCGGGCGCGGGGCGCGGGAGGAGCCGGCGGGCCGCTTCGCGAGGGACCCCCTACCCGGGCCGCGGCGCCCCGAACCCCAGCACCGCGCTCCTCGCGTCTGGGGCGTCTTTCTCGATCGGGCCGCACGCCCGGCCCAGCTCGGCCCCGGCGCGCTCCAGGCCTGACCCTCGCCCCCAGCCGCTTCCTGGTTCTTTCCCGGCGTCCTCAGACTCGCCGTTCCCAGCTCCGCCGGGCCAGGCCCGTTCCCTGGCACCCGGTAGTGGCTCCCGGACGCTCCCCCAGACCCCCCTCCCCAGCCTCTGTCGGCGTCCGCCTCCCCGCGCCCCTCGGGCCCGGTCACCTGAGTTTAATAACCCGCTTCCGCGCCGGGCCGGCCCCTAGACGGTTGCCAGACCCTGCTCAGGCCCAGCGGGCCCTCGCACCCACCACTCGGGAAGTTCGGGTCCTGACTAGCAGGTCCGCAGGGAGGGCACAGGGACAGCGGCGGGCGGCGGGCGGGCGCCCAGCCCCAGAAGGCGGGGTCTCCCTGGCGCATGGGGCACTTTGCGGCTTGTTCGCCCGCACCGCACCTGCCCCCTTGACCTTCAGTCAGGTGGACCCCGCCGTGGGGGGACGTGGAGCCAGACCTGGAGCTGCCGTGGACGGAGAAGTAGACTGAGTGTTATTGATAGTTCTGTCAGTTTGTGTTTTTGCCACTTTCTGTTGGGGCTGAAGGCTGGTAAGAGGTGGCCTGGAGGGGTTCACTTCATTCAGCCAGATAAGTGTGCTGTTTCGATAGGTAGGCCCATGCCCGCCCTTAACTGTAACCCTGCCAACACCGCTGTAGAGTTAACAATTCTTTTGCCACACGGTATGAACCCTCCTCCTAATCGTCGGTTTAGTTTATTAAATGTTCTCAGAAGACACAACTTGGGTTCCACCCCCCTCTGCCCCAGCACACATCCCCAAACCAGAGCTTCTGTAAATGAGAACAGTTTCAGCCTTAAGCAATTTGTGAAGAAAGTGAACAGTTTCTTCACCTTCCACCTCTCTTCACCGGCCCCCAGCCCTGCCCTTCCCAGGCATGCAGAGCCTGGGGCATCCCACCTCCAGGAGCTTCCAAAATGATCTTTCCTTCTCTCCTCCCTGGCTCCCATCAAAACGGCCGTCATCTCAGAAAGTGATCTGACAACTACTTCCTATCTCCCTGGGAAAGCCCCATACCCAAGGCGGGGCAGATGGAACAGACAGCACCTCAGCCCTGAGAAGGGCATTTCTAATATCTCCAGTGTGGGAATTTCTCCATCGGTGCCTGGAGGAGATATTGGTGATCAAGAGAGTTCTTTCTAGGCAGCAGATCTTAGGCCCCCTCCATATGCAACATACAAACAATGCTCTAGAAGTTTGACTGTTCCTGAGTGATTGTTGGGAGGCCTGGGAACCCTTCTCTCCCCCTGCACCCTCACATCTTCTGGTAGGCCTTTCCCCAAACTGAGGTCACCAAGTTAAGTCCCTACCCAGTTGCTTGCTCCCTCATTGAAAAGGAAGAGTGTTCCCTCCTGCCCTCTTCTGACAGACCAGAATAGCAACTCCTCAGTTTCTTTTTTAAATATAGATCACTTGGTACAGTTTATTTGGTCTGAGTTACAGTAGCTCATTCCTGATTCAGGTAAAAATTATTCATTCCTTGTGCTGTTTTAGCTAACATACATTCTTCCTGTTACTCCTATTCTTACTGGACTTTTTTGGTTTAAGCCTAGATTAAAGTTGTTTTTTTTTTTTTTTTTTTAGATTTATTTGTTTATGCATATAAGAACTGGGGCACTGGTCAGAGGGGGCGTGGGGAGAGGATTCACCAGAGACAGAGTGGGGAGCAGAACAGGTGAATCTACTGAAATACATTGCTGCATGGAACAGTGGGCAAGACAGGAGAGGTCTGCTGCGCCATGTGGGTTAGCTCCCTGGCCGAGCATCAAACTCATGATTGCTGGTAGTCTCTGTGCCAGGCCTTTAGGGGGGCAGAGATGTAAGACATGTGGCCTGGTCCTCAAGGCCTTCACAGTCTAGTGGGAACCATGCCTGCTACCCAGCTACAACAGTATCGCATAGAACGGGACGAAGTGCAGTCACTCCCTGTGGCTGGGGTGTTTGGAATGACTGGGAGGTGTCACTCTGGTTGGGTTATGGCCCCCACAACTAACTTTCAAAGAAGACAAGATGGTCTGGGCCACCAAGGCTGGGGGGTGTCCCAAAGCCTCATTCAGTGTCATTGCTTCTCCCCCGTGGTGATGGCCTTCTAAGCATTCTTCCTGCCTTTGTCTCCTACACACCACAGCCAGGTGACTCTTCCTAAAACCCTGTTCTGATGGCATTGACCTGCTTCTTCTTGCCTGTAAAAAAACAAAAACAAAAAAACAAAACAAACAAAAACAACCAAGAACTGACTCTGTGACTTTGCGGTCGAGTCCCACACACTCATTGACCCATTGTTTTTTTTCTCCCCACACACTTTGCAGAGTGCCTTCTGCAGGAAATGTTTTCCTTCCTCTCCGAATGTTGAAATCTGCCCCAGTTATTCTAGTTTTAGTTCTCTGTGACCTCAGTAAAGCCTTACGTGTTGCAGCCTGCTAGAGTCTACCCCATCTTGACCGGAGGTCGCTTGCCACCTCTCCTGTGTTCACTGAACTGTGAACTGTGTTGCACTGAACTGTTCAGTGCAGTTTTCAGTTTTACATTTTCTTCCCTTCCATGGCATGTTTTGTGAGGATGGGGTATTAAACATCCTTGTATTGCCTGTAGCATCTAGTGTGGTGTCTCGTATGCAGTAGGCGCTCAAAAGATACTTCGGAATGAATTATTCGAGTCTGTAGTGCAGTGATGCCGAGAAGCATGAGGTCAGTGAGAGACACATCCGGGAACCCTGGAGAGGGCTTTGGGGAGCCGGGGCCCTTAGCTGGACCTCGCTGGGGACTGTGAAGATCTTGATGTAGAAAGGGATACTCAGGCCTCCCGAGGGACCCGGGCAAGGGCGAGAGGTTAGGGACAACTTGATTATGCATTTTCTCCAGCAGACATTTACTTTGCAAGGAGAGAGAAAAAATGCCCTTTTTTGGAGATTTCACAGGCAAAGTGGTTGTTACCAGTTCAAGGCCAGGGCCAGCCAGGGTGTGGATATGGAGAGAGCACTTCTGGAAAAGGGGAAAGTTTGCTGAGAACAGAGTCAGAATTCTCTCGGTAGAAGGAATGGAGAAGGTGTGGCTAGGAGCAGAGCTACTTAAGGAAGAGTTGGGGTGCCCAGCCTGTTGCCTTGTACAAAGATTATAAATAAGACACACTCATAGTGGTATGAGTTCCTTACCCCTGCGGCTCAGCTGAGCTGTCATGGCCTTGAACATAGATTTTCATAGCCCCTCAGCTTGAGAATGCTCTCTTTGCCATGTTTTTGATCTGTATCATTTTGATTTTGTTGTTTTGGGGGTGCTTTTCTGTTTTCCTCTCTGCCCCTCTGCCGTAGCATAGCTGTGTTATATTGAAATGATCTGCTTCTACTTCCCTGCCAACATTCTCAGCTCCTCCGGGCTAGGGATTGTGGAATTGTGACGGGCAGCATTTCCAGAAGGGAAGGGTGTCTGATCAGAAGTGCCAGGACATTGTTGGCAAGCTATGGTGACAATGCAGACACATCCTGGAGAAAACATATTACATTTCCTTTTGAGAACCCGGATCAGAGTGCCTGCTCCAGGGTGTAGCGGGGACCTGACGCTTAGCGGATGGTGGGAAGTCTGGAGCCCGCGCTCCCTGTGCTGCCACCTAGGTTGTCTCTGCTCTCTCTGCAGCGGGAGCCCAGCATTGACCTGCTAGAAGCCTTCGTGGAGCACTGGAAGGGCATCACACACTACTACATCGAAAGCACAGGTGGGCCAGGGCTCCCTGGACTCTTGGAGGGGTGGGAAGAAATGGGTGAGGTCACCATGCAGCTCAGACACACAGGTGTCCTAGGGAAGGTGACATACACTGCTCAGGAGTGCAGAGTGGGGCCTGGTCCCACTCTGACCTTTTAGGAGAGATTGAGGTGAGCGGGGTGGGGGTCCCACTGGCCTGACTTCTCAAAGCAGAGGTTGAATCCCACTGTCCCCCAACTTCCAGCTAGGCAGAACATCTAGACCTTCGTCCTCAGAGGCCTGTGCCAGGGCTTACTGATTAAAGGGGGAAAAAAATGAGAAAATTTCTTTTTCCTGAGTCAACTCATTTCCCTTATAGAAATCAGGTAGGAGAAGAAAAGCAAAGCACATTACATGCCTGGTCTTTTTCCGTCAGCTGACACCCAGCAAGGCAAAGGCTTGGGTCATCCAGGCCCCAGGAGGATCTGACTGAGGGGTAATCTGATTGGCTGCTGTGTAGTCACATTGCTGGTGTTGGTGGGTGCACAGTGGTTGCCAGGTAACCCTGCCCTGCATCCCTAGCTCTCCATCTCCTGGAATTCAAATAGGGGTGTGATTCCAGCCTACACCTTTCCTTTCCTTCCTAAGTCATTCCAAGAAATTAAAAGCAGTCTAAACACAGAGGGACCCAAGTCTGTCCGTCACGATTGACATTTAGACTGGATCAGTCCTTGGAGGGCGCTGCCTTTTAGGGTGTAGTGTGTTAACAGTTCTGGACTCTGTCAACTAGATGCCAATAGCACGTCTTCCCCATCGTGACAAACTTAAATATTTCTCCAGAATATGCCAGATGTCCCCCGGGGGTGCAAAATTACCCCCAGCTGAAAATGACTGCTTTAAACCTAAGATCTTGCCTTTTTTTTTTTTTTTTTTTGAGGTATCATTGATATTTAGCATTATGTTAGTTTCAGGTATACAAATTCTGATTCAGTCTATGTATGTGTTGAGAAATGATTGGCCCAGCAAGTCTAGTTAATACCCGCCACCATTCATGATCCCATTTTTCTTCTTGTGATGAGAACTTGTAAGAATTACTCTCTTAGCAACTTTTAAGTCCACAATACAATATTGTTAACTGTAGTCACCATGCTGCACCGTACATCCCCGGGACTTATTTCAGAACTGGAAGTTTGTGCTTTTCAAGTCTGAAACTGTCTTGACAGAGCCCCAATCACCAGAAGTGTAGAAGAGACCCAGAACTGAGTCAAGTCCACCTGGGGCTTCCCCGGGGCCCAATTCATAATTTCCAGAACGCTCCTTAGACCAGAAGTGCTGGAATAGGTAAGGCACACTGCCTTGCTCTAGCGTCTATGCTTTCCAGAAAAGCTAGGGGGTGCTCCAAGGCCAGTGGCAAAGTATCCAAACTTGCTTTATAAAAACACTCTACCTGCTAGGACTCCGGGAGAGCCCCACTAACCAGCCTTTCCATCAGGACCCTGGCTTGATGGTGCAGGTTTCAGTCAGAACCCAAGGTTTTCCACAGATTTTTTTTTTTTTTTTACCTGCTTTGTAAAAAAGAGAGTATTGACTTCCCTGGATATAAAAGAGACACAACAGGCCCTAGGAGGTTATCAGTCAAGAAACTGCAGAAAATAGCATCTGAATTCTCTGACTGAGACCCCTGAGCCCCTGGCTTCTCCCTCAGGCCCAGCGCTGACCAGCAGCCCCCGCACACAGCCTTCTGTAGGTGCCAGGGATTGGCCAGGGAGATGAGGCTGCTCCCCTCTGATACAGTGCTGGGGCTTGCTCCCATTTGTCAGAGGGCTGACTCCTGGGCCCTGTCCATGAGGCCTTCTAGCTTTTTACAGTAGAGGCATCCACTGTCAACTTCCATTTCCTCTGGGCTTTGTTTGGAGCAAACTGCTAACCTGGTCTCCCTCCAGGTTGCCCTTGATCACTTTCCACCCCCAGGGCTCCCTGGCCTGACACCACAAGCCAGAGTGGCCCCCCTTCTACCCACTTATTCTTGTTTTTGCTCACCCAGATGAGAACACCCCAGCCAAGAAAACAGATATTCCCTGGCGGCTGAAGCAGATGCTGGACATCCTGGTGTATGAGGAGAGGCAACAGGCAGCAGCCAGTGAAGCCGGGCCCTGCCTGGAGTACCTGCTGCAGCACAAGATCCTGGAAACTCTGTGCACACTGGGCAAGGCTGAGGTGGGCAGCACCCGAGTGCCCATGAACCTTCTGCTGAGCCAGGGCCCCTGGGAGCAGGAGCTCCTCGCAGTGTGGACACCCCCTGCCTACCACTTAGCCCACCCCCTCCTCCCCAGGGCACTGGCCCTCGGTTATTTGCTTTGGTGGTGTGTTCTCACCACCCTGGGCGGGAGGAGGAAACACCGTGCCAGGCCGTGCTCTAGGTGCCGGGAACACTGTGGTGATTAACACAGACAGGCTTGCGGCTGTGGAGAGGAGGAATCTTCAAAGGGGCCCACAGAGCGCGTGTTCAGTGTTGACAAGGTTATGGTGCACAGTAAAGCAGGAAGGGGACTGGCAGCACATGGGGGCCGGTTTCAAAAAAAGTGCTGAGGGAAGGAGGCTGGTGGAGAAGGTGTCCACTGAGTGGTGCTGAAGGAGGAGGTGTGCCCTCCCTTGGCCTCATGGGAGGAGAGGTCTAAGAGGGGGACCTGCTTCTCCTCCCGACAGTCTCCTCTTCCCCCCAGTACCCTCCAGGCATGCGGCAGCAGGTGTTCCAGTTCTTCAGCAAAGTGCTGGCTCAGGTACAGCACCCACTCCTGCATTACCTCCATGTCCACAGGCCTGTGCAGGTAGGTGCCAGGAAGCCAAGGGCTGTCTGGGGGTGAGGCCCCCCTCTTCCCTGCCACTCCATTCTTCTCTGTTGCTATCGTGCTCCTCTTCCAGAAACTTCTCCGACTTGGTGGGACAGTTCCTGGATCCCTTACAGAAAAGGAGGAGGTACAGTTTACCACTGTCCTCTGCTCCAAAATCCAGCAGGACCCAGCCCTGCTCACCTACATCCTGGAGGTGAGTTCGACTCCTGGGAACTGGGGGTTGACGGGCACACCCCAGGGTGTCTGCTCCACCAGCTCTAGGCTAAGGCCCTGCAGCCAGTATATCTGCCTTCCCAAGGGGGCATATGGGGATTGACCACTACCACCTGGCCTCACCTTAGCTCCTTTGCAGGGTAAAAAGATGGTCGGGAAGAAGAAGTTATCCAGAGAACCCAGTGTTCCGCCCAGAGAAACAGCCAGCATCCAGAACAAAGACCACCCCCATAGTCAGGCTCCCAATGGGGCTCCCTGTGGGGCCTGGGCCTTGACCACCCAGCTGCCTGCAGAGACCGAAGAGCCAGATGGAGGGATCGGGGAGAGCAACCTGATCATCTCTCTGATTGGGTTGTGTAAGAGCAAGGTGCTGGTGGCTGCCAAGACCAAGTGGGCAGGCATGGGGGTGGCAAGTTGCTAGGAAGGGATGTGGCGGTCTGGGTGCATGTCCCTGAAGTTGCACCCCTATCCCCTAGAAAGGTCGGGTGGCCCTAAAGGCCCAGGAGAACCTGCTGCTTCTGGTGAGCGTGGCTTCCCAGCCAGCAGCCACCTACCTGGTGCAGAACAGCCTTTGCTGCCCCGCGATCGTTGGGCACCTTTGCCAGCTATACCAGTCCATGCCTGCCTTCCTGGACCCCGCAGACATTGCCACATTAGAGGGCATCAGCTGGAGGTAGGTGCTTGGCCAGGGAAGGCAGGGCTACAGCATGAGTGACTGGAAGGAAGCCCTGCCTGTCCTGAGACCTGGCCTCCTTCCCTAGGTTAAAGCCCATCCCAGGGTCCTTCTCACCCTCCAGGGAGCATCATCTTTGCTGTCTGTTCCCGGAGAACCCCCAATAGAACAGAGGTCCAGGGCAGAGGGAGAAAGGACCCAGCTTCCAGAACATACCTGAGGAAAGCTTTCTTGCTCTCCCTTCAGGTTACCCAGTGCCCCATCTGATGAGGCTTCCTTCCCTGGCAAGGAGGCCTTGGCTGCTTTCCTAGGCTGGTTTGATTACTGCGACCACCTGATCACGGAGGCTCACACGGTGAGCAGGGAGGAGTTTCCCAGTGTCGCACTATTTCCTTTGCCATCTTCACTTCGAGGGCCAGTGGCTCACTCAGGCTGGGCAGGGCCCTGGATTGGCTGGGCCCCTCTGCCTGTTTTAAGCACCATGCGGGGACATAGTGGTTTCTCAGCAGAAATTGTTGATGAGGGTAAACCAAGTTTAAGGGGTGCTCTTTGGGGCCCAGGTGGTTGCAGATGCCCTGGCAAAGGCTGTGACTGAGAAGTTATTTGTGGAGATTCTGCAGCCCCAGCTACTGCACGTGTAAGTGTATGTCCAGTTCCTGGCCGTGGTCTGCCGGGCTACCCATCACACCCCTTTCTGCCCCTCAGGCCAGGGACCTCCTCGGCCAGAGCTCCGAGTCTGCGGACACCGTCAGTGAATGTTTGCCAGGCTACCCCCACCCCACATCCTAGCCCGCCCCCACACGCTCTGAGACTTGTGGACCAACAGAGCCCTCCCATTCTTGGACTTGGGGACCTCAGAGAGGGTGGGTCCTTCCCCAGCCTGGGGGCCAGTGCAGTGCTCTCTCCTATAGGTCTGAGCAGAGCATCCTGACTTCCACCGCCCTGCTCACAGCCTTGCTGCGCCAGCTCCGTTCCCCTGTGCTGCTGCGGGAGGCTGTGGCTTTCCTCCTGGACACTGACCAGCCACCGGCAGCCCTCGGGGACAGCCCCCACACTCTGTGCTCCCACCTCATCAGGCACTGTGACCACCTTTCTGATGAGGTGAGGTGCCCCTACCCCCCAAAAGGGATTGTCTGAGGCTTCCCATTTTCATTAGCTTTCCAGATAGTTCTATCTTTGAGGTACTGACCCCTGTCCACCCACACACAAAAAACAGAACAGTGGCACTGATTGGTAGGCTGACTGCTTTTGTCACACAGCACTTGTCTCTGATCACATGCTGGTGACAGCACTTTATGTTTTGCAAACCTCTTTAATACAGCAGCCTCCCATCTGTTTCAGTGATCCGAGTCAACTGAAGTCCAAAAATATTCCATACCATAAGGTATTTTAAGAGCGGGCGACCACATCCACAGAACTTTTATTATATTGTTAGAATTGTTCTATTTTATTTTTAGCATTGGTGTTAATCTCTTACTGTGCCTCATTTTTGAGTAAACTTTACCATAGGTGAGTGTGGCATGGGAAGGTATGTAATATATATATAGGACTTGGTTCTATTTCCAGTTTTAGGCATCCGGGACGGGGGGCGGGGTGTGTGTGTGTGTTTCTTGGAACACAACCCCCAAGCACAAGGGAGAACTACTGTAGTCATCTGACTTGTTTGAGGCTGCCACCATTCTGTGTGATAAGTGCGGTCCATATTTGATTTTTCAGTCCTGGGAACTGAGGGAGAGAGAAGCCGGCTGGCTTGCCTGATACCACACATCAAATTAGTAAGGAACCAGGACCTACCAGACTTCTGGGTTCCCACATAAACACCCACCCACTCCCCCCAGAACCTATCTCCATAGCCTTGGCTAGGGAAGTTGACCATGTTCTAGGGAGACTTTTATCTGGGTGAGCAGTTCCCGGCACCCCTGGAAATAGGGGTGGGGGAGGGGCATCCTGCTGATGGCTTCTTGCCCCAGATCAGCATCACCACGCTGCGGCTGTTTGAGGAGCTGCTGCAGAAGCCCCACGAGCGGATCATCCACAGTCTTGTCCTGTGCAACCTTGAGGGCCGCCCCTACGTGGCCCGGTGCTCCCCTGAGCCCGAGAGCTATGAGGATAACCTGTAAGTAAAACCGGGCCTCTCTGGGAGGCCCTGGCAGTTCGGCACCCACCCCAGTTCTCAGCACCCTATTCTTCGCTCATTGCTGCTGCTTGTCTTCCCACCACAGAGACCTGGAGGAGGACCCCTACTTCACCGATGGCTTCCTTGACTCCGGCTTTCAACCTTCTACAAAGCCTCCCCCAGCCCCTGCCACCAACTCAGATGGCAAAACTGCAGTGACAGAGATTGTCAACAGGTAGGTGCAGGTCAGGAAGTCTGAGCCACCTGAGCTTTATTCCATCTTGGGCCAAGCCCCACCCAGTGCAGCCTGAGAGGGCGTGCGCCCCCAGGGCCTAAGATGGAGCAGGGGCAAGCAGGGCAGCCCGGACGGGGCCCTCCACACCTCGGGTCCTGTCTCATAGTTTCCTCTGCCTGGTTCCTGAGGAAGCCAAGACCTCTGCTTTCCTGGAGGAGACCGGATATGACACGTACGTCCACGATGCATATGGGCTGGTGAGTGTCGACGCCTCTGCCAGCACCCACTCCCGGTCCATCAAGCCCTGGGTTGATAAACCCCGAGCTGTCCCTCCGTGGTCTCTGGCCCAAGGTGCTCCATGCTCCCACCAAGAGCCCCTGGCCAGCCTTCCAGAGTGAGGACCACTGTGCTGCCTCCTCACTCCTCCCTTCCTGTCTCAGTTCCAGGAGTGCAACTCCCGAGTCGCACCTTGGGGCTGGCCCCCAGATCCCACGCCCCTGGACCCCCATGAGCCTGAACGGCCTTTCTTTGAGGGTCACTTCCTTCGAATGCTGTTTGATCGCATGTCCCGGATTTTGGAACAGGTAGCCAACGGGGCTGGGCCTTGGTGACAGGGTGAGGGTCTCAGGAGAACTCCAGGCTGGTGCCTCTTGAGACCTTTGGGACAGCAGGGCCTGGCCATGGGGGTCCAGTCATCTTCCGTTCCCCAGCTCCACAACAGCCCCTACCCCCCACCTTTCCCCAGTTGGGAAGCCCCGTCTCGCCTCTGTTCCACACGCCTTAACATGTTTTGGCCCTCAGCCTCAGGGAATCCATGACACACACACATCACGTGAGTCTCCCACCCCCGCACACGTTCACACTGGCCAGGCGCCTTGCTGGGGGAGTGCAAAAATGCTCACCATCCCCTGCCAACCCTTGGCTTGTCCACTGTGTTCCCTACAGCCATACAGCCTGAACCTGCAAGTGACCTCAGTCCTGTCCCGGCTAGCCCTCTTCCCCCACCCGCATATCCACGAGTACCTCCTGGATCCCTACATCAGCCTGGCCCCTGGCTGTAGGAGCCTGTTCTCTGTGCTGGTCAGGGTGAGGATACCTGGGCCCCAGGAGTGTGCCAGCAGTGGGGAGGGGCAGGGAGGTGGGCAAGCCGGGGCACCCTTCCAGCACCAGGGAAAAGCACAGTCACATGGCGTGGGAGCGCAGGGACCCTGCAGCGGAGACCCTTGTCCACGCCTCAGTCCTCCTTGTTCCTACTCTAGGTGATTGGGGACTTGATGCAGAGAATTCAGAGGGTACCCCAGTTCCCAGGCAAACTACTCCTGGTGCGCAAGCAGCTGATGGGGCAGGTTCCTGGGGAGCAGTAAGTAGCTGAGGAAAGTGGGTGCCCAAGGGAGGGCCCCGGACTGGGAAGAAGGGTACTTTAGGGCACGGGGGCTGAGGAGGGCCTGCTGCTGGGTTGTGTCTCCTGGGATTGCCCTCAGGATGTCAAACCGGGCACACTCCTGCCACCTCCCACCATGATCCCCCTGCCGTCTCCCTCAGGCTGGACCACCAGACTCTCCTCCAGGGCGTGGTAGTACTCGAGGAGTTCTGCAAGGAGCTGGCTGCCATTGCTTTCGTGAAGTTCCCCCCACACGGTCCTCACCTGAGCCTCTCCCCGCTCCCAGAAGGGCATATCTGAGCCAGGAGCATGATGGGAGGGGAGACTTTTGTCCACACCTCCTCCCGCCCAGCTCTGCCACCATCATTCTCCTCCTGGGGCGGGGGCTTGGCTCCATGTCCTTTACACCCCAGGGTGTGCCTCCGTGGAAGCCTGGGCTTCAGCTCCCAGGTTAGCTCAAGACAACCTTGGCCTGTTGACCACACTAGACTTGGTTTTAGGGAGTGGGACTCTGAGGTACCAGATGCCAAGGAGCAAGAGGCGGCCTCCCAGGCAGCTTGGCGTCCTCGGGACCTCCTTGGGGAAGCTGGGTAACAGCCAGGTGAGCACTGGGACCCAGCCCCGCACATGTTCTGTGTCTAGCACCCTTCTCCAGTGGCCATTTGTTGCTGGGGCCAAGACTTGTGACTCAGTTCTAGGCACACGGGGGAGTGATTGGATAGCCTGACGTTGGTCATGACCATTCACCCAAGGATGGGGACAAGGGAGCCCTGTCATGTCACACTAGGTACAATAGATGCTGCGGAGACTTGACATTTTTTTCCTCCCGCCTTCCAGGCTTAACCATGGGAAGGGGCTGTAGACAGCAGGGAAAGCCCCCTCTTCCTGCTCAGCCCTCCTGGAGACTGTTGCAAAATTTCCAACTGCCTCATGGCAAATGCCCAAAGCATGTTCCGCGCCCAGGCGGGGGCAGCTGCTAATGAGAGCCTTGATGCAACTGTAGCCAGGGCGGGAGAGGGCCTGGGGAGCTGGGGGGCTGGGTGCCAGGCTCCAACTCCAGCTGGTTTCTCCCTGGCGCCTCTGAACCCGTCTCAGCAGGTCCACAACACCTGGGCAGAGGGGCTTGGAGACAGCAAGAGGGAGGCGAGACCTTGCTCTTGGCGAAGTGAGATACTCTTGTAGGGGAGCAGGGAACTCAGAGTAGAGATGAGGCCAGGATGCCCACCTGACTACAGACCCCAAGCCTGGTGGAAGGGGTGGCAGTACGGGCAGCCAGTCGTGATGTTCTCCCTGCATGCCCTCTGTGGCTGGGGCTGCCACCCCGCCCGGCCCGAATCTGTCTCGACCTGCAGGAACACAGAGGCAGCGCCAGGCATTACCTCACAGCAGGACTGCAGCGGCTGGCTTCGCTCCTGGGCAAGGAGGAGCAGGCCAGAGCCCCTTGTGCTTCCTTTTCCTGCCCATGCCGCTTCTAGAAGCTGGCCGCAGGTTGCCAAGAGGTGACATGAAAGAGGAGGAAACTCAATAACCTCTACCTCTCCTGCATTCCTCAAGTTGGGGAGGACTGAACTGCAGCTCTGAGAGACACGGGGCATGTGTGTGCGCGCCCACTGGGTGTGGGTGGGGGGCTGGGGAGCAGAACTCAGTGGATGAGCTGGGCCTAGACTCTTCGATTCAGAAAATGTCCACAAGCCCAGGAATTGGACATTGCCCTCCTCGACGTACTTGGCACTCGCGCGGCGTCCTCCCAGACAGCTTGGCAATAAATGGTGTGGTTGCGTGGACACAGCCGCCCTCTTCTTCTCCACCCTTTGCGTCCTTCTGCCCAGGGCTTCGCTGCTAATTCGGACCAGTCTTCCTCCCCTAGGAAGACAGATTCCTTTTCCAGCTCTGGAGCTAAGTGGGCGAGGTGAGGGAGGGTAGGGAGGAGGGCTCTGCAGTGCACACCTGATGTTCCTCTGCGCCTGCCAGGCAGCAGCCTCCCTCTTGGCCAAGCAGCTCTACTGTTCAGCTACCTACGCCCGAGCGCCAGCTGCCCCTGATACCGCAGGGGGCTGGGCCATCTGGAAGCATCTGTATGCAAGTCTCCTTTTTTAAGTGTTCCTGTTAGGGGTTGTGTCACTTCTTTAGTGGTAAACGGTGGGCCTGGTATTTTAAAAAAAACTTGTCCCTAAGTGTGTGTGTTGCACCTTTGAGGGGGGTCACCAAAAACATTCCAGGGCAGGGCTGGAGACAGCTGATCAGCGGCTCTCAACTCGGTGATGTCAGAATCACTTGGGTTGCTTTCTAAAATAACAGTGCCCCAGGGCCCACCCTCCACAAGTTAAATCAGAATCTCTGGGGTGGTCCCTGAGTTTTGAAAGCGCTCCAGGTGATTCTAATAGGCACCCGGGGTTGAAGACTAGCAGGCTAACTCACGGGAGCAGAGACCATTACCCTTGAGCGTAGGGAGGGACTCGTCATCCCTCAGACACTGAGAAAAATGAACCGAAGCGAGAGGTCTGCTTCCATCATTTGGAAGATGTTAGTCCTCAGAGGGGACGAGATGACCCCTACGATGGTCCCGGAGGCTAGAAAGACATGGCAGCTGAAAGGTTATCCTGCTTCTGCAGAGTGTCCGTGTTCCCTCAGAAGCTGAGCCACGTGGGTGTTTTCTGTACGGTAGATGCAGTGAGTAGCGCATGAAACATGGTCTACTTTCTTTGGTTTCCCCTCACATTTTAGTAAAGTCCTCTTTAAAAAGTAATCCCTACCATGATTCAGCTGGACTAAAGGGGAAGGAGAAAAGATTTGGCTCTGGCTTGGGCTGAGCTGTGAAAAGGCAGAGGCAGCATTTAGAGCTTTATAGCTCCTCGCCCACTGAAGCTTCTCCCCTGTTCGCACAACTCCCACCTGGCAGGCGAGATAAGGAGAGCCCTGGAGGGCCGGCAGGCTGTGGTGGACAGCAGGGAGCCAGCCTTCTGGCTCCCCACAGGCTGTCCCTGAGATGTCAGTTACTACCTGGGAGGGCCTGGGCAGGTGCTGGTGGGAGCTGGGGAACAGTGCTCCTAGACAGCAGTCCACACTTCCGGCTCACTTCCTCCCCACACAGACATTAGGCAGGAAGTTAGGTAAGCAAGACCTATTTACTCAGCAAGGATATGCTCCCCCAGCGCCCTTCCCATGTTTTCAGTGCCTCAGGAACCAGAGTCGCCGACACCGAGGTGGGCAAGGAAAGTGATGAGTAGACGCCATCTCAGTCCTCACAACCCCTTAGGGAGCAGAGCCTCATTGCGAAGTCAGGGCGACTGGGTCCTTGAGCTCTGGACTCCTTGCTTGGTCAAAGGCACTGTCCCTTTTAGCGCAAGAGGGACCTGCTCCATGCAAGGAGAGATGGAAGGCCCTTGAGAACAGGGGAACCACCCTGCTCCCAGCACAGCAAGATCCCCGACTGCCCACCTCCTGCCTCCCATGCTGTGAGGGGAGCACAGACACCCAGTTTCGTGCCCACTGATGGCAGCTTCCTATCTGTTAATGGGGACCACAGAGGATTCCTGAAGCCTCTGCAGGAGTTGGATTTGTAGGTCTTCCTCCATAACTTTCCACCAAAAGAAGTTCTCGCCCTGAACTTTTGGGGGCTCATTTTGGGTACCTGGGTTCCGAAAAGCCACTGTCACCAGCACATTCAGGCAGATACCATCTGTTTGGTCTCTGCCCAGGTGCTGCAGTCCAAGCAACCCCTTGGTCTCCACAGTCAAGTGGTGCAGGGTCAGACACTCCTGCAGCAGCCGCAGGACAGCCATTTTAATGCCACCCCTCTGCTCCGTGGGGGTGAAGCCACAAGCAGTGATGGGCAGGTGAGGCCCTCCCGCTGTACTCACTAACACCCACACCGTTTGAACACTGGTGAAGGTGGCCACGAGCCGCTGGCAGACCAGGCTGCAGGGAAGCTCTTGGGGCAGAATGAGGGGGTGCCTGGCTTGCTGCTTGTACTGAGCGGCGAGCTCTACCAGGTGCAGAATGTCATGGGCTCGCAGTGGAGTGGGCAGAGAGGTCCTCGGGTACCAGCCGGCCTGCAGGGACTCTGCATCTGCCTCCTTGAAAGTCTTGAGAGTTCCACCTAGGGAGAGTTGAGGGGGACGGAGTAGGAGAATGAGAAGTCCTGGCCTCTAGTCCTGGGGGCTGGGAGTAAGTCCAGTCCTTAGGCTGGAATCCAGTGAGCCCAGGCTTGTACCAGCCAGAATAGGAGGTCCATCTCACCTGAGGATGAGCTGAAGGTGGCAATGCTCCCCACCCCAGGCCCCATAAACACACTGTGCCCAGGTGAGCCATACCTGTGGGGCGAGCCAGGAACACAAAGCGGATCCAGGAGGGACCCCGCTCCTCCACAGACAGCAAGGTCAGGGGCTCACAGTGCAGCCCAGCCTCCTCCTTGACCTCGCGCTGCAGGGCCTTAACGATGGTCTCCCCAGGCTCCATTCTCCCCGCAGGTAGGTACCATGACCCCCGGCACTCCTTCTTGGCCTCCTGGATCAGCAGCACCTCATCCTGAGTGAGGAGAAAGGATCCTCACCCCACTACAGCTGGGCTGGGAGCCCTGGGGCCTCCCCTTGCCCTGGGACCTGATTCTATCTCAGAGTCTCCCCTTCCTGGTGGCCACCCTCAGATGGTTGAGTTCTCCAGGGGCTGTCCGCGTGTGACTGGGGCGCAGCTGTCTGCAATTCTTCCCTCTCTGGATTCAGACTTCCATTTCAGAAAGGGGCTAAAAGTCCTGCAAGCTGCTTCAGGGGTTGAGGCTGGGCCCCACAGGGTGAGGTGCCACATGACCTGCTCTATTTTGTGTCTTTGTATGATGTCATTGTGTAGCTGGCTCCCCTCTGGTTTACCAGCTGTCTGTGGCCTCTTCCCACTGGGGTCTCGGCTTTGAAACAAGCCTCCCCCTCACCGCCAGGCCCCTCTCTTTACCCCCCACCTCCAGCTGTTACGGCCACCTGTACAGGGATCAGCACCCAAAGGAGCACCACACAGGGGCTCCGAAGTGCCAGGACTGTGCACGGGATTCCGGGCGGTCTCTGAAGCACGGGGCAGCCCAGGCGGAGGCCGGCGGTGTGCTAGACTCCAGGGAAAGAGTAAGACGGCCCTCCCCTCAGGAATGGAGGCCTAGCGGGCCAAACAGGCTCCCCGCCTCAGCGCCCCGCTGCGTCTAGCAGGGCACCCTCGGGGCTGGGCCGCGCGCGGTTCGGATGCAAGTGTAAGTGAGAGTGCTTTGCAAAACTGGGGCGCACCACACGCGGGGAGCGTGGCTGGTGCCGGAGGTCCTCGGTCTCCACTGGGGTCGGCTGCGCTCCCGAGGGCCGGGCGGCGGGCCCGCCGGGCGGACGCTCACCTGCTCGTTGAGGAACACGGCCAGCACCACGTAGCAGACGTCCTGCCGCAGACGCGCCGGCGCCGGCGGCTCCCCGGCCGGCCCCGAGTCACAGCTCTGCACGCGCAGCCCCTGGCCCCCCAGCACAGCGGTCAGCGCCCCCGCCAGGCCTTCCGCGGCCATCGGGTCCCCAGGGAGGCGGGGGCCAGGCCCCGAGCACCCGCCGGGGCGGGTGGGCCGGGACGGGGGGCAGCGCGGGGCCCGGCGCCCAGGACCCCTCCCGCGGCGGGCTCGGCCCGGGCGCGCTCGCGACCGCGGAAGCGCCGGGGGAGCCCTGAGCGCGGATAGGCTGCGCGCCGGCTCGGCCCGCGCGGATTGGCCGGCCCTGGGCGCCCGCGGGGCGGAGCCAGCCCGCCCGGGGCTCGGCGCCCCGCCCCGCAGCCGCTGACCCCCGCCCGGCTTCGCCCTCCGCATCAGATCCAACCCCCCGGCCCTCCCCGCGTCTCCGGCGGCCAAACGCGATCATTCACCCGGCGCGCACTGATCCACACCGGTTCCAGCGCTGACGTCATCCTGCCTGCAGGCTGCCGAGCCACAGAGGCCAGCGTCGGTGTCGTCACAAGCCCATGACGTCACGAAGGTTCGGCCCCGCTTGGGACCCACCGTCCAGCTTTTGTTGTAAACATACCACAGCGTTGTCTGAAATGATCGCTTTGAACACTTGACTTTCTTTTTTTCTTTTTTAAAGATTTATTTGTTTATGCATACAAGAACTGGGGTACAGGCCAGAGGTGTGGGGGTGAGAGGACTCACCAAAGACAGAGCGGGGAACAGAACAGGCAGATTGAAGTACTCTCCGGAGGGGAGCAGCAGGAGAGTCAGGAGAGGTCTGCTGCACCACGTGGGTAGCTCCCTGGCCGGGGGATCGAACTCGTGCTGCAAAGGCTACGGATAGATTCATAGGTTGCATCTTAACCCCTTGCACCACCAGAGAGGCCCACTTGACTTTCTTAATAACCTTTCCTTACCAAAATGTGCTAAGTGTCACAGGGCAGGTGGGACAGGAGTGCCCGCCTTGGAGGAGATGCTAATCTAGGTGGCGAGATGGGCATAGGCATATAATCGGGTCATATGAGAGTATAAGCCAAGTGCTGACTGACTGGTTTATGCAGAAGGTAAGACAAGCTCTCAGAGGAGGGGGGAGGCAGGGTTTGGGGAGAGGGCTGGGGTGGTCACCGTGTGTCTGGCCATGGGAGGAGGGGATTTGGGCCAAGAAGGCCTGCTATCAGCTCGCCCAGCCCTCCTCAGTGCCCGCCTATGCCCTCTGCCTTCCCACACAGTTTCAGGGTCTTCCCCCCTGAAGACTGTGAGCCTGCAGGGCAGCAGCGGGGTCCTGCGGCATCTTTGTTGCTCTCTTGTGCCCCTCTCTTAGGACCTGGCACGGCTCTTAAGAAAAGTGGGGTGAGAATGTGTTACTCTGGCATTCTCCTGCCTCTCTCCCAGGCTGACCTTTCCTCTTTAGAGCTTTCTTTTCAACATCCTGGGACAGGAGGGCAGAGCCAGCTGGGCTGAAACTGACGCAAGCCAAAGGGGCTCTTCACCCCACAGTGAGAGCGTCTCTTTCTACTTTCCCCCTGCTGGTTTTGTGCACCTCTCTTTGGGGGACAGTGGCTTGGTGGAGCAGACGAAGCACTGGACTTGAAGCCAGACACTTAGCCCCTGCTCACTAGCTGGCTCTGTGCCCCTGGGTCGTGTGGCTCGCAGTGTTTCCACATCTGCAGAGTAGACCTCTAACAGCACTCCTGCCCAGAGTTGTGGGAAGGTGAGACATGATGGGAAGAGCTCTGTGGACTGTCCAGAGTGGGTCCCCATAACCAGGCAGCGCCCAGCCCTCCAGACCAGACCCTCCAGGCACAGCGCTATTACCACAGAGAGGCCTGCCATCATGAATGTGGCTATGGGGTCACCAAGGAACTGGACTTTCCTCTCAGGAGTCCCAGCCACCTGATTGCAGACCCTTCCCACACGCTGATACTGACTACAAGTTCCCTGGAGGCAGGGTCCTATGGAAGTCGTAGGTGTCCCCAGTGAGTCCACTATCTCTTGGGGCATTTGGTGAACACTACTACCCCGGTCATCTTGAAGGCCTTTTGTCTCCAGAAGAACTGAACTCAGGACTCTGGGATTTCAGATTGACTTGTCAACACATCTGCTGTGTGTGTCTGCGTGTGTGTTTATCCCTCAATTTTCCCATCTGTGAAGTGGGGACAGCGTTGATCCCAGACTCCTTTTTGCCTCCCAGGGATGATTTGAGAGGGGATGAGGTCACGTCTGCACTGGGCTTGGAGCGCCTCAGAGGCAGCTGAGATAAACACCAGACAGCCTAACTGCCTGGAAGGGCAAGGACTGCAGCAAACCGCGGCTCCACTCCCTCTATTCGCTGGAAGGAGGCCTCTCCTGCCCAGGGAGGCCCAAGCATGAGACGTGGTGGGAAGCTCATGGAGCAGGTGGAAAAGCCCTTTGTAAACTTGAAGGTCGCATAGATGGCAGGCCCCCTGGGGGTACACCCACTCAGCCCTTCCAGGTGCTGAAGGAGAAGAAAGACCTGTTCAAGGCATTGGGAGAAAGAGAGCACACGGCAGAGACAAGACAGAAAGAGAAAAGCTGAAGGAAGTGAGGGGCTGCAATAGAAACCTCCAGAAATAAAAACAGCTCTATCAGCCTTGCTCGGCATCTTCCCATTAGAGAGAAGAGCACTGGCCGATGCCACTGGCCTCCCGCACAGTGGACAGGAGTGGCCCAGCTGGCAGACCATGTAGGCAGCACACACTGCTTGTGCATTAGAGTGGAGTTGAGCCAGCCATTTCAGGGCATGTGGGCACGTGTGCAGGAAGGCCATGGCAGGCAGCCCCAGAACGGGATGGGGATGGCTAGCAGGGTGGGGCAAGGGTGTCTGTGATTAGTCATTTACAGAGCAGCAAGCCCTGTCCCTTGACAAGTGGGAAGGGTGAGGAGGGCAGGACTGGCTGTGTCTTGAGCTCTGCCACTAGCTTGTGTAGTGACTTTGGCAGAGACACATCTGTGTCTAGGTCATCTGTAAGATGCAGGCATCGGTGGGTCCAAGAGCAGAAAAAGAACATCGATGGAAAACTAATGAAATCCCATTAAAGTCTGTTGCTGAGTTAGTACTGTTAGATCAGTGTCAATTTCTCAGTTTTGATCCCCGTGCCATGGTTATGTAAGAAGGAAACATGAGAGGAAGCTGGGTGAAGGGTAATTGGGAACTTTCTGTACTATCTTTGTGACTCAACTGTGAATCTGAAATCATTTCAAAATTAAATCTAGAAAGTATACTTTATAAGGGAAAAAAAGGGTGGTACTAGATACACACGCCCGAGGTCATTCCAGCTCTGGTGATCAGGCCAGAGAAAGGGCTGGGGCAACCACGGACAATGGGGGTGCTGAGCGAAGCAGAGGCCCCGAGGGCAGGGTGGCGAGGGAGCCAGCCAGCTGAGCCTCACAGGGAAGCACCACACCCAGGGCTCCAAGCTAATCTCAGGGTCAGTCTCCACTGGACAGACTTCGTGCCCAGGCGGAACTGGAACACGGATCCACCTGCAGGTTGCAAGGAGTTAAACCAAACATGCCCTTACAGGTGCTGTGACCCAGCACAAAGGGAGAGGCCGTGAGAGGTCTCTGGGAGGAAAGGCTCAGTGTCTGGGCCATCCCCACCCTCCCACAAGAAGGACCTGACATTTGGGGTCCTGGGGTAACATCAGGACATGGCTGTATCAGGTGACATGTAGGTAGCAATCGGTCACTCAGTGCTACTTGGCACCTGACCAGCTCTAAAGTGCCTGGCTTAGAAGGAGCAGGACAGTGAGCCCATCTACAAAGTCCATTAAGAGCTAAGACTATAAATGTAAATGAGGCGGGAAACTTGGTTCAGGTCCCAATTCTGCCACGAACAGTACAGTGTGATCTTAACCCCAGCCTGCTCTGGGGCGCTGTAAAATGGAGATAACTAATACTGACATCAAAATGAGAGCGAAGGATTAAATGAGATCAGTCCAGTGAAAACAGTAGCACAGTGAAGTGTTCCTTGATTTTTCTTTTTTTTTTCATCCCATTAAAAAAAAAAATAACCTAGCCGGCCAAACAACGGAGAAACCTAACTTTTTCAAAATGAGGGTTGGTTACATAAATCATAGCAAAGTCACTTAAGGGAATATAAGCATCTATTCAAAATGAAGGTTAAGTAGCAACATAGAAAACATTACAACACTATCAAAAGGGAGAAACCAAGTCCAAGATACACCAACCCAACCTTGTATAAAGCAGATCCTTCTGGAAAATACTAGACGGGAATACACCGAAACACTAGGCGTGACTGAGTCGGGGCTGCGTGGAGGTGAGCTTCCAGGTGACTTTTTCTTTCTAAAGTTCTGAAAGTATATTACATTATAATAAAAAAATTTTATTTCATTAAAAAAAATTCCCTGAACCACCGCAGGAACAGTTAGGTATAACAAGAGTCAGGGCATGTGGGGGCTGAGATGTACAAGGGCGGGGGACCCACACCAGAAGGGCCCTGGGGGACGGGAGGGTCGTCTGTTGTCTCAGGCAGCAAGCTCGGACTGGGGAGGTGAGTTGGGGCTGGCCAAGGGCACCAAGGGCAGCCAACTGGACAAGGGTCCACACTCAGCTCCAGGTCAGGTCAGATGGGAGAGATAGGGTAGCCTGGAGGATTGGCTGGAGGGTTGGGGCCTCCAGGTCTCGTAGCTGGTACCGCACAGGGAGACCTCCAATGCTGCTGTCCAGGTCTGTCTTGCCAGCTATTGCTGTCAGGACCATCTTCAGAGGCAGCCTTGCAGTGGGAGGCAGAGGCCCAGGCCCCCAGAAGAAGATCAGGCCAGAGTATTTGAGGTCCCTGACATCCTGGCCCAAACCCCCCACCCACTCCACTCCCACATCTCTCCCCCTCCCAGTCCCCGTGGCCTGCGGGAGCAGGGCCAACCACACTGGCAGCATTCACAAAACAACAGACTTTAATGGAAATCACGAAGGAGGGAGGCGCAGGACGGGAGGAGCAGGGACAGCTGGAATTGCCCGTGTCATCCCCAAGTCAGGCCAGACCTGGGGAGTCTCCTGACACCCCCTCCCCTCACTGCACAGTTCTCTGGTCAAAGGGCAGGATTTTCTTGGCCCCTTATCCAGCACCCTGCGGTGTGTGGGGTCTCCCGGGAGCCCTGTGAGGATGCAGGTGGTGTAAGCGGAGCTGGGGTACAGGGGGACAGCCTGAGGGGGCAGCAGAAAAAGTTGTTGCAGAATGATTCCCACGTTCCCAAGGAAGGGCTCTTTGTCTCCTAGGTTGTAAGGGGCAGGGGTGGGAATCAACCACCCCCAATGTGGGCCTGGTGCCACAGAGAGGGGTGTAGGCAGAGCAGGTGTCAGCCTGTGAAGGGCAGGTGTGAGCTTCAGTGGCACTTGGTTTTAGGGTCCAGGTCAGGGCAGGGGAATGGAGTGCCCTGCTTGTGCCCAGAGTGGTGCTTGTGGGATTGACTGGAAGTTTCCAAACCCAGAGGCATTCTCTGCTGAAGCTGTACTGGGCTGAGTTCCTGGTCTACCTGCCCCCCGCCTCTAGCCCACAGACCTGAGACCCCCTATTTGGCCTCCTGTAGTGTTCCCACAGCCACCTTCACTGCTTGGAACACGGCCCAGTCCATCTAGGAGAAAGAAGAGGGGAGTTTTCAGTCACACTCCTCAGCCTTACCGGCCAAGGACATCTTTCTGGGCTCAGGTGGCTGCCTACTTGGCAGAGAACTGGATCTGCCATGCCCCCCAGAGGTGCCGTGGGGGCACTTGGTCAGCACTCTGCCTCTGGCCAGTGCCACACTCACCTGGGCATAGAGCAGGCGGTGGTCAGGAGGCAAATTGGGTCCCTGGTGGCAGAGCTGAGCGGAGAGGGCAGAGGTCTCAGGGGACAGGAAGTGCTGAGTGACACTCACTGTGCTTACCAGGCCCTGCACCTGCGCCAGGAGGAGGTAGGCAGGGGGGTCAACAGAGGCTGAAAGTCGTACATCTTCCCCTGCCCTCCATCCCTGAGGTCTGCTCTCCATATGCACTCCCACCCGGCTCTCAGGCAGCAGGAACCCTGGGTCCAGCGCCATTCACCCAAAGCACATGGCCAAAACCAGGCCAGGGGACAGGGCAGAGCCCCTCTGGGTCTGATCCTGAGGAGGCCAGGACTAGACTCCACATCTGGGGCGGGTCCCAATTTGGCTGGATGACTCCAGCACGCTCAGCTGCTGGGTTTCCTCCCCCCTATGGTGGGGGCATGGCTTTCTGCCTGCCACCTCTGAGGTCTGGAGAGGGGCAGGCCCTAATGGGGAACAGAATCACTGTGCCGGTTGTTCTTGACGCATCTGATATTCCAAGCTCCCTGCAGGGCCCTGGCCTGCTGGGGAAGCACCTGGTGGGGAGCCCCGGCAGGCACCAGCACAGCCTCTCCGGGGGCCTGCAGCAGGGTCCAGCAGCTCACGCCCCACTCCTCACGCAGGCGCCGCCTCAGCCCTGCATCCAGGTAGCAGCTGCCCGGGGCACCAGGCTCCAGGTTGCCAGCCCCAGCCGGGCACACCTCAAAAAAGAGAAGGGAGAATGAGGTGGGCAAGGGCGGGGGGCAGGCGGGAGGGCATGAACTTCTCACAGGCCAGGGGCATAAGAAGTCCTCCAGCGGTGGAGTCTCAGGGCAGGTGTGAGGCGGCCCAGGGTTAGAAGAGGAAGGAGCCAGGTTTGAGGGGCCGGGCAGCTCAGCTGGGCAGAACAGAGGTTTGGCTGGAAGGAGCTTAGAGGAAAGGATTAAGGACAGGGAGACTGGGGTTGGTAGGGGTTCTAAATCCCACTTTCCTGGGGCTAGATGTCTTGAATAGCCTCTGTGTCTCTGGCCTCCTGTTTCCGCTTTCTAAAACCCAGGAAGATGCCCTCATCACCCCAACTCAAAAACCACCTATGCCAGAAGTTCTTAACCTGAAGTCCTGTGAACACGCTGAACTGTGAGCTAAATTACAGGTAAGCAGGTAGATGAATGTCGCTGCGGGACAACCCAAATTCTAAGCTCTCAGATCTGGAAAAGACACGGCCACCCAGAAGCTCCGTTCTCAGGGGACGAACAGGCTTGTCTGTCCAGGTCCAGGCCTCTGAGGCAGGCCCAGCCCCAGGAACCTGCACAGCCCAGCTAGAGCGGGGAGCTCCTCAGCCATACAGGGACGTGTGAGGACCAGAGGAGGTACCCTGGGAGCACCTGCAGAGGTGAGTGCCTGCATCGTGCTCCAACTGGCCGCCAGTGAAATCCACTCCTGCTAGGACCTCAGCCATTAGCTCTAGGCTTTGGGCTCAGGGCCCCAAGACTGGGCTTGGTGAGAGAAGGAGGCTAGTGAGCCGGGGTGGGCTGCCCCAGGCGGTGGTGGTGGTGGGGCAAGATTTCTTTGCCCTCAAAGTTCAGTCATCCTGGAGCTGGAGCAGAGTGTCCCAGGCCACCCATGAAAATATGCCCCTCAGCCTTCCGCATGAATCATCGGTTTGGCCACACGGGCCTGCCCACAGCCTGCCCCACCCAGCCTAGACGAGGCCATCTGTGTATGAAAGTTTGCTCTGGCTGCTCTCCTCTGCGTGCTCTGCGTGTGCATCTGCACATCTGTGTGTGTGTGAGGATGCACCTGCTTGTGGGACCACCATATCCACCAACACCCTGTCCGTGTCTTAGCAGGGATGGCGCTGGTGGGCAGTTTTTCTCTGGGACCATCGGGGCTCAGCTGGACTTCGGAAGCCCTGGAACTGCATAACCTTAACTGGCCTCAAGCCTGCCCCTCCCCTGGAGCTTCCTGCCCCCTGCCTACCCCCTCTTCTTCCCCTGCCCCTCATCCTGGTCCAGTCTCCTCCTCAATCTCCCTCGGTCCCTCATGTGGGAACGGGAGCAGTAAGGCTTCCATTTGGCTTTGTGCCAGCCTCCCTGAGCCCTCCATCCCCCCATGCTTCTGAGGGGAGGCTGCCTGACCCGGGGGAAGAACAGCATAGTGCCCTGGGGTGGGAACAGGTAAACTCAAAGCCCAGCTCTACCACTCAGCTTCAATTTTCCCATCTGCAGAATGGGAAACAGCAGAACCTGCCTTCCGGGGTAGCCGTGATAATTAGCTGAGAGAATGCACCTGAGGCCCGAGCACAATGCCTCCTCAGCCCTGGCTTTCCTTTCCACAGGTCCAACCTCAACCCTGCTGCTCTTTCTGACTTCCCAGTCTGCTCTGCGTGGGCCCCGGGGAGGGGATAGTGGGGCCCGGAGTGAATCTGCTCCAAGGGGTGCACACACAGACAGGGAGAGTGTTTCAGGAAGTGAGTGTGAGGGCTGTGCAGGGGCGGGGGAGGGCTCCAGACCCCTCCTCACCATCTGGAGAAAGCGGCGGATGCGCTGGGCGTCCTGTGCCCTGAACACGTGCCACACGGTGCTGACCTGGCTGCCTGGAGACCAGAGCCCCTCCCCATCTAGGCCGGAGAGGAAGTCTGAGGAAGAAAGCCGGCTTAGGAGTGGGGGCAGAGACACCCCCTCACATCTGCAGCTGGTCCCCACCCCAGCCTCCGACCAAGGACCCACCTTTCTGTGCCCGGTGCCAGGCAGGCAGAGGCGCTTCAGCACATACCAGGACGCTAACCAGGTCAGTCACCTCCACACAGAGGTTCTTGATGCCCTGGTGCCCACGGTGTGGGTTCACACCTGCATGGAGGTAGAGAAGGGACTCTTGGGAATGAGCCCCAGGACCTCGGCACAGACAAACGTGCCCAGAGATGGCAGGAGTGGGGGGAGGGACCGGACATTTCCAGTCCCAGGAAGGAGTTGGAGTGGGCACTCACCGTAGGCTGCCCACAGCTGGGGCTCCAGTGGACGCAGGACAGGGCCCGGTGGGAGGTAGGAAGCCAGGTTGAGTTTCCCTTGGCGGGCACAGTACTCCGGGAGCGGCAGGCTGGCAGCCAGATTCTCCACCCTGGTGGGGGAGGGCCACATCCAGCAGGCTCAGCCTCCCAGTACTGATGTCCAGAGACCAGCACAGAGCCCTGACGGTCACGGTCGGGGAGGGGGGGCTGTTGGGGAGGGGTGGTGAACAAGGACAGAGAAAGCTGGAAAGGGGCCAGGAGGTAGCTGGGAGGCTGTACCCCACCCACCTGCTGGAGTCCTCTTCCCCCAGATCTCTGTGCAGCAGGAGGACAGAGCCTTCTTCGGACTTGGGGCGAGCTAGGGAGAGACGCAGAAAGAGCACTGGACAGAGGTCCCTGCCCTGGCTATAGCAACAGGTCTGGGTTCTGTTCCAGCTCTGCTTCCAGCTGCCCCCGGGGGTCAGGGGTCGCTCTGGATTCCACTGCCACCCACCTCAGCCTCCCAGCTCCCTCCTCTCCACGTCAGGCACACTCACTTTCTGGCCGAGAGAATCCCTCCCAGAAGGTTTCACTGCCAAGGCTTGTGGGCTGTGGAGGCCCGAGGGGGGTCAACACCTGCACCTGACCTCCAAGGACCCCAAGGGCTTCTGTCCCCCACAGGTTGCCTTTTAATGTCCTCTGAATCCCTGACACCAACACAGGCTGTAGTGGGGAAAGGAAGGACACGTTGTAGGGGGCACCAAGACAGCAAGAGTTCATCTGTTTGGGTCTAAGGGCCGAGGGCCTGAGGGTTGGTCAAGACTGTGAGAACTGGGAGGCTCACCTGGCCCTGCCTCCAGTGTTCCTGGAAGAGGTGGAAGCCACGCCGGGGCCTGGGCTCCTGCAGCCACAGCAAAGCCCCAGGGGGAGGCAACCGGGTCCGCACAGGGGAGAGGGGCAGACCCAGGCCCTTCCGCAGGCCAGGTGCAGCCCGGAGGCCCGGCCCCAGGGCTTTCTCCTGGATCTTTCGTTCTACTACCTGCGCGATGATACTGTCCAGGATGTTGGTGATACGGTCGTCCTGCCAGGAGGGAGGCATAGAGGGGCCAGGGGTTCAGGACCCACCCTGCTCCACAGAGAGGGCTGGCCCAGCCTCTGTCCCCAGGACCCCAACCCTCCCTCACCACCCTCACTCACGCTGGGCAGGGCCGGGGTGACAGGGGCAAAGGCCATGTGTATCCGCTCGTGCCCCAAGCAGAGTTTGACAGCGGTAGAGGCCAGCAATTCACAGAGAGAGGGGCAAGGCAAGGGCCCTCGGCTGGCACGGTCTTCTGCTGGGGTCTCTGTGGAGTCTGGGGCCTCTGTTGGGAGGGAAGAAGGTGCAGGGAGCCCCCTTCATCTCGAGGCTCCCTTACCCACTCTGCTTTTCCCACTTCTGCTGTCTCCTCTTCAGCTCTGCTGTGATCACTCACCTCCCACCAATTTTCCCAAAGGAGGGGTTCAGAGGGGCTTGTTCTAGATTTTATTTAGATTTCTTTTCTCTGGAATAACTTGAGAAGAATGATGAAGATTACGAGGGTGGGGAGTGGCTAAAGCAACTCTAATCTCTCGGTTCCCCTCCTGCCTCCAACCCTGGCCCATCCTCTCCCGCCCCACTTCCCCCTTGCTCCCAGAACAGCAGGGGAACCACTCACCCTCTTTGGTGTCCTTGGTCCTGTTGGTGTCCCCATGGCAGGAAGGTTGTGGAGTTGGGGATGTTTTTTCTGTTGGCTCTTTCTGTGAAATCCAACCCCACCCCCAATCCAACCAGAACTTTAAAAGTGGCAAATACGATACACTCCAATTCACCCCACAAGTGTTTAACAAAGGTCTCTTGTGCATCCTAAAATCGTGTTTATAAGGAGCAAAATGTATAGCGTTAGGCGGAGAAAAGTTGTCCGTGGAATTCTCCAGACAGTACAGTTTGTCTCTGAAGTTTGCAATGATGGACTAGAATAAATATGTAGGCAGGTGGCCGGTGAGAAATATGTCAGGATGATAATGGTGGCATTATAGGTCACTGTTGTCTGTGTTTTCCAAATTCTCCACCATGGGCATATTGTATGACCCACAAAATGCACTCAATGCACTAGTTCTTGAAAGAGTGACTTTTATCATAAAAGTATGACCTTCATTAAAAACTCTGTGGCATGCACAGTGAGCGTGCACCATATGCCGGGTGCAGGAGGACAAGGAGCAGCCAGCGCTCCAGTGCAGGATCCGCCGCCAGGGACAGGCAGGTCTGCGTGATGTGGGCAGTTCCTAACAAAGTGGGCAAGAGCTCAGGGCAGGTAGGGAGAGGGCAGGTGGGGAGAGAGGGCTTCCACAGGGTGGGGGGAGGCAAGGCAGAGGCCGGTGCTTGTTCCCAGGGGAAGGTGGGAAGAAGCCTGATGGCACTCAGCTTCCATGTCCCCTTCATCCCCATCAGAAGAGAAGGGCCAAACCCTGCAAAGGTCAGTGATCTTCAGGCACGTGCCCCATTCCCGTGCTCTGCACCTGTTCCGTGCCTTGCTTCTCACCTGCTGGCCCCCATCCCCAGGGGCCCACGCCCGGACATCAGCTTGGCAGGGGCAGTGTCCCCGGATGTCAAACTTCACCCAGACCTGGTGCATTGCAGTGCTCAGTTCTGCCAAAGCTGTGAGCAGGGAGGGGAGATGGAATGTGGTGGTGAGTGCAGACAGGAGGCTGCCCTGCACAGCTGGGCCTCGCCAACCAGGAGGGCATGGGATTGGGCTGAGGGACACCAGTCAGGAAGCCAGTCTCCCCAGGCCTTGCCCTCTGCACACTCTGCCTCCCCAGGATGGCTCACCCTGGCTGGAGATGAACTGGGTGAGCATCAGGGAGCAAACACTGTGCCCAGCCTCCTGGGTGCACTCGTCAGTGGACTGCTCCTGAGGGCCTGTGAGGCAGGAAGGGAGAAGTGGCAGGCTGAGGGATCAAGGTAGCACAGGATAAGGTCAGGGAAGGGCAAGGACTTGATCTAAGTCTGAGGACTCCTATAACACAGGCTTTCTGGGAAACTTGGATAAATACTGACATAGGATTCTTGGCTTGCAGAACATAGAGTCTTTAATACGCCAATGTGCATTTCAAGACTCCAAGGTAGTCATGTGGAATAACGTGTTTCAGGGTGTTCCTGACCCTGGAACTGTTTTGGCCAAACTATTGGAACACTGGGAAATTTCAGTCCTCAGATGACAGAGGTGAGCCAAGGGAGAGAGAGCTCAGAACCATAAAAAGAACAGGATTTGGAGTCAGATGATCGAAATCTAAATCCAAGGCTTATTAGCTGTGTGACATTGGACTAGTCACTTAACCTTAGTTTTTCTTATCTGGAAAGTGGAGTCAACAACACCCACCTCACAGTGCTGTCAGGTTTAAAAAGGTGCAAGTTGAGCAAAGTGGGAGACAAAGAGTAGCATTCGGCTTCCTTTAGGAGTGGGAAGGGCACAGGCGTGGCCCTCTGAACTGGGGAGAGTGGAAGGTCTGCTCGAAGCATTGAGCAGCAGTGGCTGGGGCTGGGGAGTGGGGAGACTTTCTTGGGGAGAGACAACCAAGAAATGACCTCAATCCTTTCAGCAGCCTTTCTGAGACCCCCCACTCCTGGCCCCTCGCCCTCAGCCCCAGCTCCTTTCTTACCTGTTCTGTCCCTGGCCCTCCCAGCGCCCAGCATTCGACCACAGGCCACGCAGAGCCGGTGGGCACAGCGAGGGCATCTCCAGTGGGTGTTGAAGAGTCCATGGTGGCAGCGGCTGCAGTAGTGTGGAATGTCTGGATTGTCCTCTGTCCTGGCTGGCCCCTGGCCTGCTGACCATGGGGGAAACAAAGGTCAGAGGGGGTTCAAGCCATGGGCCCTTTTTGAGACCTCATGTGGGAGGCTTCTAGGCAGGGATAGAGAGAAACAGGAGCAGTTTTCACTGAGGGGTCGTGGGCCAGGGAGCCAGACCCCTTATGAGCACCCACTGACTCGCCCACTCTATTGTCTACAGTGAAGCCTCCAGGGACAGTCTCATGGACTCAGTCCCGCCCGGGGATTTCCCGCCAGCCCTGAATCACTAATTCACATCTTTTCCAACACATTTCTTCACCCACCTCCCTCCACACCCTCCCCAGGTGGCGTTTCTTCAGTAGCACAGAGGATATGTCAGAGCCTACACCTTTCTGACCCAGAGCTCAGCCTGAGCCCCCCTGCTGGGTGGAGAACACCCAGTTCAACCAACACCTTGGCCTGTCCAGGCTGGGCGCCGGGGATTCGAAGCTGGTCAGGACTTAGCCCCGGCCCTCCCAGCGCTTGGCTGTAAGGGGGGAGGTGGAGCCATGAACACGGCTGTGATCAGGGCCACAGGAAGCTCTGCAGTGTGAACCAGCACGAAAGGATCTGGGTGGGAAGGGCAGGGGCAGCTTCAAAGATGGGTCCCAAGTGATGAGTAAGTTTCCATTCACCAGGTAGAAAGGGAGGGAGGAGAGGGCATTCCAGACAGAAGGGACAGAGTGCCAAGGCCTGAGGGGACGGACAAGCTCCGGTGAGCCAGCCAGGGACAGGCAGGCAACTTGCTGGGAATGCAGGCGGAGGGAGTGGCAGGGTGGCAGGAGAGTTCTGATGCCCAGGGAGGGGCACTGGACTTCCCATCTGGGACAAGATGAAGCCACCAGTGGGCCCCTATCAGGGAGGGTTGCAGGGTTGCAGGTTGCAACCCTGAGACAGGGTTGCAGGTATGTGTTTTCCAAGACCACCCTCGTGGTGCTGGAAAAGGAATCCAAGGAGAAGAACCCAGATGCCTGGTGCACCTGGGTCTCTAGCGCCCGTCCTAATGCCACCAGCCTCCTGGGTGGCCGTGAGCCTCACCCCCAGGAAGCTTTTCTTACTCTTCCTCCAGGCAGGGAGCTCCCGCACTGTGAGGGCTCTTCCCAACACTTGGCTCTCTCAGTCTTGTTTTCCCAACAAAGCTCTTAGGTGTTGGGCTGGGCTGGGTTTTACACCTTCCCAGCATCTTCCAACCCAAGCCAGAAACTTCAGAGCACGTGTTGACTAAGAGCTTAAGCCAGGAAAATGGTCAAAGCCTTGGAACAGGCATGCTCCTGAGTTAGCAGAGGGACAGCAGTGCCGGTAGAAGAGAAAGTTGATTCTGTGAAAGCCCAGCAACCACAGGGCCAGGCCCCCTGGGGCCCCGCCTGCCCTGTGGGGCCTGCTCACCTTCCCGCTGGGCCCAGGCCAGAGCCTCTCGCTCCCTCCGAAGCAGACGGCACAGTCGATCCCCTAAACCACTTAGCAGGTGCTTGGCGAGGCTCTTGCTGAGTTGGGCCTCTTCAGAGGTGACTGCCGGGTCTTCCTCCTGCTGCTGCTCTCCTCCCAGAGGCAGTCTGGACACAGGAAAGAGGAAGTTGAGCGGGGAGTCACAAGTGGGAGGCAGCTAGGGCATCCAGGGGTAAGGGCTCACCTCGGCACTTGTTGGGAGTGGCATGCCAGCTCTCCCGCCTCCCCAGCTGCCTGGCCACAGCTTTGGCATGTGGTGATGCCCGCCAGAGATGTCAAGCAAGGTGTATCCTGAAGTCCCGGGTCCTTGAGACCGGCCCTGCCATCTCGGGGCCCTGAAGGGACAATGCAGCTGGTCAAGAGTCTGGGCTTCCTGGACTTATGTGAACCCCAGGTCCTGCCTGAGCACCCAGCCCATCCACACACACAGCCAGGCCAGCCCAGCCCCTAGGCCCAGGTCTCTGAGACTTGATTCAGAAGAGCAAGAGCAGACCAGACAGCCAGAAACTTCACAAAAAAGACTGAACAGGAAGCCTGAGAATACCCTAACACGGACTGGTGGGCCGAGAGGAGAGTTCTGCTGTGTGGGCCTAAGGTGGGGACAGCTGGAGTGATTTTCCTGACAAGTGCAGGATGCAGTCAGTATAAATGGTGGATAGCTCTGCTGTGGGATTAGTGATACAACTGGCTGCCTGACAGTGCGCGGAGACATTCCCAGCATGGACGGAGGGCGCCAGAAGGTGAGAGGCCGGCGAGTTTCAACACAGGCCACAGGTGCCGTAACCCAAGAAGGCAGGGAGGCCAACAGCTCCCCAGGCAGACAGAGGCCTGGGAGAGGGTCACAGACCGCGCCAGGTGCAGAAGTACTTAAGCAAGGCTGTGGAGAGTCCAGATCCAGGCCCAGCCGTCCAGGAGGCCAAGAAACTGAAGTGATCCAAAGATCCGAGACTAGGGTCAGCAGTGCCAGAACCCTACACGAAGGACACAGTGTGACAGAGGGGTCCGGGATATGCCCAAAGCCCTAGAGCTGGCAGAGTCCAAACTGAGTTTCCATGAGCTCGCTGAACAAGAGAGCGGTTGTTTGTTCCTGAGGCAGGACAAGGGGTCCTTCAGGAGAGGCAATGCCCCAGACGGGGATTTGTGGCACAAATAATCACAAAGGCAAACATTTGTTGAGTGCTTACTAAGAGCCAGGAATTCTTCAAGGCCCTGGCTGTGAATTATGTCATTTAATCTTTGCAGCCGTCTCTATGAGATAGGTGCCATCTTTATCCCCATCTCATAGATGAAGAAACTGAGCTCCAGAGAGATGAAGTAATCAGCCCAAGGTCACGCAGCTACCAATCAGCAGTGAGGAGGGGGCACTCTGAGACTCCAGAGTCCGTACTCCCAGCCACGTCATCACACCGTCACCAACACACCACGGCTTGGAGGAGGCATTTGGAAGTAGAAGCCACTTGCTGGAAGGCTCTGGCCTGCAGGTGCTGAGCAGCTCCCAGAGAGCCATCACAGCCAGGAGGAAAATCTGACAACTGGTGTGACGCGCTTATAAAGGACCTACAGCCCCTGCCTCCCTCAAAGTTCCAGGCCTGGTTACCCCTCCCAAACAGGGCCCCCCGTGGCCTCCCCCGGCTCCCTTACCTCTGTGATCTGCATGCTGTTCCGCCTCCACCTTGTTCCCAAAGGACGAATCCGGCACCTCCTGCCAACCTCTGGCCTCCTGCCCCGCATGGCCTGGGAAAGGGTCAGGTGGGCGCTTGGAGGCTGGGCCGCCCACTGCCCCCTGGACCTCAGGGCTGCTTGCCCTCTTCAGAGCCCGAAGCGGGGCTGCCGTGCTCTCATCTCCAGCGCAGCCACCTGGGCACCCAAACTGCTCTGAGTGTCGAGTGAGCCATGTCTTCTTCAGTTTGGTGTGATGGCTGGGAGGGCAGGCTCTGGGGGCAGCGGCCTTGTTCACTTCCTCACTCGAGTCACTGGGTCCACTGGTGCCCACGTCCACATCCTCCTGGCACTTTCCACAAGAACTCAGACCTTCATCCCTAGCAGGTGGGTGGGAGGAACAGCAACCCACCTGGGTGACAGGAGGCCCAGGAGAGGGACATCGTGGTGTGGCTGATGGCCCCAGTTGGTACCCGAGGCTTCCACTCCCTGGTACAGCCCAGAAGTTGCCAAGAGTATGAACTAGGCCTGGGGGACAAGTGGTCCAGGGGGCCCGAGGAACAGTGTCTGGGTGCCCCAGGAGAAGTGGGCAAAGATTTGCATGCCTGCCAACTCCTGTCTCTCCATCCCTCTGGTGTAGTGAAGGGCGTTCTATGCCCCCAGTTCTCTGGAGATGCCCATTGGGGGCTAAGCCCAACAACCCAGGTTCCGCAGTTGCCAAAGGCTCCTTTGCCAACCTGAGAATGCTCGGATCCTTGTGGTAAAAGCCCTAAAGAGAGAAGAAAGGATTAGGCTAGTGCTAGCTTTGGCTCCCAGAGCTCAAAACATGCAGGTGTGTGCCCCTGTGGCCTTAAAGGCTGTGAAAATCCTGACCACGTAGTGGTTAATAAGCACTGCTCTGCTAAGCGCCTCCCAGAGCCTTCCTTTCCCAGGAGTACTCAAACCTCCCCCTACTCCAGTGGCTAAATAGTTAATGCCTGGCACAGCTGAAAGACCTCCAGGACCTAGTTAGACCACCTGATGCACTGAGCCATACTGGTTTTAAAATATTTGACATCTCATCCCTGGGTATGGGGGTTCCCTATGGGAAAGTCACCCTGAACATAGGGCAGAGGGTGCCTGCACATCCCTCCCACTCCTGGACAGAAGGCCTGGTCTGCCCTCTCAGGGGACAAGACCACACATCCAAGATCCCAGTTTCAGGTTCTTGTTCTGAGTGGACACAGGGTGAGTCACTTGCTGGAATGGCCCAGAGGCAGAGGCTGGGGAGACAAAGTTGCCCTGAAGAGGAGCTGCTTAGGGTGACTTTCAACTGACAGGCCTCTGCTGTGGGCCGCCTTCTCTTTACAGCAGAATGGAAGGCTGAGTGCTGTGGCCCTGGCAGGGCTGCTGGGATCGCTGAGCTACTCTGTGTGGTCTGGGCCCCAGGTACGCTCTCTGCTCCCAACACTCACCTTGTTACCTAAGCTGAAGGCCGAGGGCATTTTGGGCTGCCCCCCTGAGTACACCCAGGGGTGTGGGGCCAAGGGCCAGTCACACGGACGCTCTGGGGGCAGGCTGGACACTAGGTAGGGTGGCAAGCAGGTGGGCACCCAGAAAGGAGCTCGTTCCAGGATCTTGGTCTCCAGAAGGAAAGGGCAGTGCAAGGGCCGGAAGGCCACAGGGTCACTCTTAGTATGGCCACCACTGTGCTCAGGAATCAGAGGACCATAGCGAGGTGGGCACGCTGACCCGCAGAACGCTAGTGGATGGGTAAGCATTGCCTCCTTCCAACGCAGCCCCTCCTTGCCGCCCAGCCAGCCGGCCTTTCTCTCTCCATTCCGGGGTCCTTCACCCTCTACCAGTGGGAGGACGTCCTTGGGGCTCTGGGGAAAGCCAGAAGGAAGCCAGGAGTCTGGGGTGCTCAGGACACCCCTCCAGAAAGGTGCAGGCTCTCCCAGACATAGCGCCCCACGGTGTAGTCCATCTTCAAGCGGGATCTCCCGCCCCTGTCCCACGATGCCATTCTCAGAGGCTGTCTTCTCCCAGATTGGGGTGTCCTTCAGGAAGCTGGGCGTACTCTCCATCACTCTCCTGCCCTCATGGGGCTCTCCCCGAGTGGGTCCCTGGGGCATAACCACCATGGCATGAGTTTCCTAGGCATGTGCTCAAGCACCCTACTGCCCGGTACAGAGTGGGCACCGCCCTGGCAGCACCAAGCCGACTCAAACCAGTAGTGCAAGGGCCCACCCACAGCTGGGCTTTCTGTTGCCTGCCCACGAGTGGCCCATATGACCTGCTCCAGAGTAGGAGGTCACCCCTTCCCCCAGATGTCTGGGACTTGACAGCCCACCTAGGCCAGCATCCCTCAGCAGAGGTTGCCATGTCCAGGATGCCATCCCCTGGCCTAGCAGAGCCATGCTGAAGCACAGGGGTAGAACCTAAAAGGCAAACTTGGAAGGAAGGCACCACACTGGCAGATAAAGCTGGATCCTGGCCCTGACCCAGTCGCCCACTGTCTGACCTCGGGCAAGTATGCCACTCCTCCAGGCCTCAGCGTCCCCTTGTACAAAAATGGGGTTGGAAACTGGCAGACTTGGAGGCCTCTCCCCACCCTGCAGTCTGTAGTTCTGGGGGTACTGCTTGCCCACCCCACCCCTCTGCCCCACCCAGGCTCGCAGGGGTGGGAAGAACAGGCGGGGCAGGCTGGAGTCACCGGGGAGAGCTGCCAGCCAGCACTGCTGGCTGCTATGTCTCTCCACACCTGGTCAGCCCATAGTTGCCACCTTCCAGGGCTCTACAGTTTCTTGGCTCCTGAGACAGAGCCCCATCACTCCCGCCGTGGGGGGGCACTGGGATCTCCACCAATGCCCCCAGGGAGGAAGTGAGCCAGCTCAGGAGAGGGGGTTAAGAGGCCTCAGCTGGGATGGGTCAAGTTGTCCCAGTCCAGCCAGCAGTGGTGCCAGAGCCATCGGCAGACGCTGGTAACTGCAGCCTGACTAGGGGGAGGGAAGGAGGCGGGGAAAGCGGGCTGGGCCGCAGAGAGGCAAAGGAGGGAAAATTGAACGTGCGTGCAAAGGACCAGGATGACAGGTGGCACCGAGCGCCGCAGCGCTCTCGCAGCCCAATGCCTCTCCCTGCGCAGCTCCCGGGGCTGCTGGGTGAAGCCCCAGAAGGGAAGTGAGGGAGCCAAGACAAAGAGCGCTTGGGGTTTCTGGGGTCACCGCTCCCGACGGGGTCCCACCCATGGCGCATCCTAACTTAAAGATGCGCGAGGCAGCCCGGACCAGCCCGGAGAGCTCCCGCCTTCCCCGCAGCGCAGCGCCGCGCAGCGCGGGCTGGGCTCGGAAAGGACCCCCTCCTGGAGTCCCCAGAGGGCGCGGCCCGGGCGCCCCCTCTCGGCGCTTACCTGGGCTTACGGGCCGGGCGCGGTGCGGGCGGCGGCGGTCGTCGTGGCCAGCGCCGGGCGCCTGCTCCCCATGGGCCGGCTCCGGGGCCTCCCGGCCGGCGGGCGACGGCTCGCTCTCCCGATCTCTCTGCTCAGCGCGCTGGCGCGCTCTTTCCCCCGGGGCGGCGGGGGCGCTCTAGGGCCGCAGGTTGGAGGGGTCGGACTCCGGGATCTGCAGGATGCGGCACACGGCGCGGATCGGCCGCACCAGCTTCTGGGCCGAGGCCGTGGGTTGCGCCATGGGACGCCGAGACTCCGTGCTGCGCCGCGGGGAGGGCCGGGCCGGGGTGAGGGAGCGGGTGCCCCCGGAGGGAGAGAGAGAGCCGGGCCGGGGGGAACGCGCGCCCCGGATCGGAGACGGCCGAGTGGGGGGATGGCCGAGGGGCCGGGGGAGGGGGTCGTGCCTGGAAAGGGGGCCGATCCCAGGACCCAGGAGAGCGGCACCAACGAGGGCGCAGCGCGGCGCAGCACGGCTAATGGAGGGAGAGCGCAGCGGAGAGCGCAGCAGGACCTCTGATCGCCATCGCCAGACGCGCAACTGAGAGTGGGGAAGCTGCTCCGCCGGTTTCCTCCTCCAGCACCCTGCGGGAAACAGGAGCCCGTGATTCGGCGGCCCCGCCTGGGCCTGCCCCCTCCAGGGCCCCGGGGGCTTCCGCCAACGCCCCGGCGATGCCACCGGCTGCGCACGGGGAGAATGAGCCCTTTGTTCCCCCCTCCCCCCCGCGGCACCCGGGCGCCTGCCGAGAGAGGCTCCCCCGGGGCAGCGTGCCAGCTTCCCAGCCGCCCCACCCTCCGTGGGCCCGGCCCCGGAGCCTGGCAGGCGGGCAGCACCCCCACTATAGGTGCCAAACCCGGGAACTGGAGCAAAGGGCGGGAGGGGCCGGACCAGGCCACTGTGGGGCGGGGTGCCCCCCGGGGTGCTAGGGCGGGGTGGCTGGGAGGGGGTAGTGCCAGAGCTGGCAGGGGCAGTCGGGTTCTCACGGGTCAGTGATGGGCGCTCTGACCCACGCCAGCCGGCCCTGTGCCTGCTGGACCACTGCTCCCGGTCCTCTCCAACATTGGCACATGAGCATACTTGGAGGGCCAAGTCTGCCCTGTTTGGTCCTCACCTGGCCAAGCTCCTCTTCACTATACCCCACCCAAGGCCCCTCCAAGCCCCCCCCCCCCCCAGGGCCCAATGGCAGTGTCCTGCATCAGCAGCTCTGGGAGGGCCCAAGTCTGTTCCTGCCCTAAGGGCCTTGGTTTCACCAAGTGTCCAGAGAGGAGGGGGAAGGAGACATGCTCCACCACCTGCTCTACCCGGCATTCTGGGGGTCTATCCCATTCGGGGTTTCTAGTGCTTCCAGACCAGGCGCTGGAGAGGAGCCCATGGGAGTGGCTCCTGGGAGGGAGCAGAGAGGAGAGGAAATGGGAAAGCAGGGCACCCTCCACCCGAGGAAGCATCCCGGCTCCTCTGCGGGGGTGGTTCCAGAGCACAGACACAAACAGACAGATTCAAACACACACAGACAGATTCAGACACACACAGAAACCCACACGCCCAACGGGCTCTTCCCTTCCCCTCCGGCACCCACCTCCCACCCGGAGACTCCTCTGCCTCCTTGTGGAAGCCATCCTTGGGCTGCCTTCACCCAGCCTGGGACAGGCCGCACCACCCCACCCACCCCTCCCCATCTGGGAGATGAGTTCTCCAAGGCCTCCAGCCTGGTCCCAGGTCACGCCACCATCCCTGGAGAGGGAAACCATCAAGAGCCAAACAGCCAGCTGGGAAGGAACCTTCTCCCAGGAGACCAGAAGGGTTCAGGATCCTCCTGTCCTCTGAGAAGAAGGGGAGGGGGCGGCTAGGGCCGGTGGCAAAGACTTGCCCAGCTCCTTCGCCTTCCTCCAGAGGCCAGCTCTGTGGCAGGGCAGGCTGGTAGGGGTTGTTTACATGACTGAGTTATTAACACTCCCTTCCACCCCCAGCTCCCCTGAGGGGTGACCCAGACCTGATGGGCCAGGGGAAATGATTGTGGAGGGTCTAACCCAGACAATAGTCCCCAGTTCCCCACTTCCAGACTAGCTCTAGGGTGCGGATGGTGGGCTGGGTGTGCCTGTGGTCCCCCATCTGTGTCCTCTGGCAGCCAAGGCTTGTGGGAGAGCCCAGGGGGAGATTCCTGCGGCTTTGGGCCTAGAAGAGGTTGGGCAGGGCTGGGTGGGAGCTTGGGCCATCAGGTCCCTGAGGGCCTTTACTGTCATCCCTGAAAGGATAGGGACTGTCCCGGGGGAGCCGCAGAGACAGCTCCCCACCCCACCCCCAGTTGCCATGCCTGTTTTGTCAGGTCCCAGTCTCTGGACTAGACCAGAACTCTCAGGACAGGCTCCTGACATACCCAGGGTGTCATGGAAGGAGTCAGGCTGGGAAAGGAAGCCCCTTTCCACCCTCAACCAGCTCCCCATCCTGCTCCACAGGCCCACAGAGCCCTTGGAGCCGGCTGTTCTGTGCCTGAGGACCCAGCAAGCTGAGGAGACACACAAAAGACACAAACAGAGGGAAAGCCACACAATGCGTGGACACAATGCTGGACTGGTGGACAAAGGCAAGCTGAATAGCACCCCCAGAGGCGTGTGGGCCCACCCGGCCCCACGCCGACCCCTCACGCACCGACACACACACACTGCCACACGCGTCCATGCTGACAAGCCGGCTCTCACCAGCCAGCTGCCCTCACCCTGTCCCCAGAGACCCTTACCTGGGCAAGCACAGTGCCCCTCGGGCGGAGCAGCCCCCTGCCCAGGGAAGGCAGCAGGCGGGGGCGGGGGAAGGAGCCCCGGAGAGTCAGGCCAAGCTGCCACTAATCCGGGCGGGGAGAGGGGGGGCACCCACGTCAGAGCGGGGACTGCCGGGTGGAGGGCATCTGAGGACATCCCCTCCCACACACGCGGCCGTCTGGGCACCTAGCCCTACTTCCCCAGCCCCTCCATCCTTCAGACAGCTGAGGCTGGCCTCCCCCCACCCCGCCCCCCACCCTTGTGGCAAGAACTGGGGGGGGGGCTATGGGGGAGGGGGAATACCGGCGAATTCTCCCAGGACCTGGGGGAGGAGAGAGGAAGGGAAGTGAGGAGATGCTTTTGGAGCCAGGAGGAAGCTCTCAGGGGCTGCCCCCTCCCCTCTCACCCACCCACCCACATCCCTGACCTAATTCCTCTTCTCAGTCCCCCTGTCCCCAATGCCCCTCCCTCCATGACTCTCCTGAGCAATCCCAGCGCCTGGTAGAGAAACTACCTCACTCTGCTCAGTCTTGGGACCTTTGCGCCTAGCAACCCCAGCTCTGGCCTCAGGCTCCCAAGCCACGGCCTCAGCCTCCTGCCCAGGCTTCTGCTTCCTGCCCATCTAGTGGGCTTCCCAGCCCCTAATGTTGGGCTGCTGGACAGGGAAGAGGGGAGCCCCAGTGCTCATCTCCTCCACCCCCTCAAGGGTGGGGCAGTGTAGGCCAGGACTCCCCAACTCAGCCTGGGCTGTGTTGAAACGGGAGACTAACTGCTCCTCAGCCACGAGAGAGTGGCAGCTAAAAATACAGCAGTGCCAGAGGCGGGCAGGGGAGGGGGACCAGCCCACAGAGGGACCATAGGCCAAAAGGGACAGTGATGGGGGCTGAAGAGAGAGAGAGAGGAGCCACTGAAAGGGCCAAGAGATGATGGGGTGGTGAGGAGGAGGGACGAGGGAGCTGAGGAATGAAGCGCTGCCAGTTCCTGAGAACATGAGGCACCCTCAGAAGCCAGCAGGGTGCCTGAGGAGACCAAAGAGTGAGCCCAGGACACAAACCCCTTGGACCCAACCTGGCCAAGTAGAGGCACGTGGTCCTAGGGGCTGGCCTAGGTTACCTCATCTTCCTACCTGGGGCCCAGCTCAGAGCCTGGCACTCTGCTCTGGGCCACTTGGAACAGAAGCCCAGCCCTTAGGGCAGGCTTGCCTTCCCCTAACACCAGGACAGAAGGATGGGGAGCAGCCCTATCAGAGGAGGTGGTACTGGACAGAGGATGCCTCGGTGATTTTGAGGGATAGGACAGACTCTGAGGGAAACCCAGCCCACACTCAATGCCCCAGTCTCAGCACCACGTGAGTGCTGGGCCAAAAATGGCCCAGAACTTGGAATTCTCCTGGGCTCTACCCCTCTGGCCTCAGGATCTCAGAATCCATACAGTAAAGAAGCTATTCTCCTAACTGGGCTCTTCAAGGGTCTACATTGGGCACCCAGGAAATGCAGGGTAGGGACTGTGTCCTCATGGAACCTACACTCACTTAGTGCATCTGTTCTTTTACCAGCGAACATTTGCCAAGGCCTCCTACATGCCAAGCCATGTGCTGGGCCCTGTGGGGTGACTCTCAGGGCAGTGGGGCTTGGTAACAAGTGGTTACAGGTGCTTCAAACCCCACCCTGGGGCAGTCTGGGGAGCTTCAAGGAGGAGGTGATACAGGAGCCCAGAAGTAGCTTCTTAGTCACACATGCATGACGATATTTCATTGTGGCTAGGCTACCATTTGTTCCAGTCTGGGATACAAAGGTGAATAAATGCAAGTCTGTTCTTTGTGATGCCACAGTGTAGTGAGAGAGAGAAAATGATGCACTCTAGGTAAAAACAATTCCATGTGAGAACAGAGACACTTGGTTGGGATGAGCAATCAACAGCAAGAGGTGAGGGGGAGAATGCACTGAGGGCTTCCTGGGGGAGGTGATGTCTGAGTGGGGATCAAAGGGCGTAGGAATGGGACAGAGGGTTTGGTGGGGGAAGAGCATATCAAGGGAACAGCATGAACAGGCTGCCTGGAGTCATGGGACAGTCTGATTGATGAGCTGGAGAAGCTGTCCAGGGGCCCACTGGGGAAGGGAGGGGAAGACCATGGGCACACCCACACAGTCCATAGCGTCTTGTGCCCAGAACAGGGTGAACAGCCAGAGCTTGAACCTTAGGAGCTTGTGGAGGGGCTGGTAAATCAGGGGAGCCTTCTGGGAGAAACCAGATCTTAAAGGAAGGGCCTGACAGGCTGGGAAGGACAGACGGGAAGTCAGGAGAGTCACAGCTGGAACAAAGGGCCAGAGGCTGGTGCCTGGATGTAGGATGTGCTCAGGAAACAGAAACAGGAGCAGCAGGGCTGAAGGCAAGAGCTGAGGGGCAGCAGGGCTGGCGAAGTGGCTGGGGATGTGGTGGAACCAGGGAGAAAGCATCAGCACTCCAGGCCCATCTGAGGAATGAGCAAAGGCAGGGTTGCAAGCCCTTGTGAAAGTCCCTCAGCACCCCACAATTTCAGCCCTCCCCCCAACTTTCTCTTCATGCTTTTGTTTCACCACTGCTCCTCTGTTCTGTTCCCCTAGTTTGTGTGTGTGGCTCTATCCAGGCAGCTTCTGGTAGGAGGCTTCAGAAGACAGGGCCCAACCCACAGGCAACCTTCAAGGACAAGTGCGGGACCTCTTGTCTCAGTTTTTCCATCTGTAAAATGGGACTAAGCCCTACCTGGCAACTTATCAGTGAGGACAGAGGAATCATCTCTGTAAAGGGCCCTGTGCCTCTCAGGCAAGACACATCTCCTTTAGCCGGGTTCGAAAACCCGTTCCGCCACTTTCTTGGGCAAATGGCTTGTCCTCTCCTTCCCTATTTTCCTGTTTGTAAAATGGAGATAATAATAGTACCATAGCTCACGAGATTATAGTGAGGCCAAACAGACATGGGCAGGGGCACAGAGCAGCGTCTCCTGCTGCAAGGCTGTCACATTCCTAGACTTTGCTTCCTTATCCTCACTACAAGCCTAGCACCTGCTAGATGCTCAAGAGAGATTTTTTTTTAATGAATAAATGAGGAGATAAGGCAACACCGCAAGGCCAGGGGATGCCAAGAGAGGCAGTCATTGAGCACCAATGTGTGAGAAGTTAAACCACCCTGGCAGATTAAGAGCCTCCCCCAAATAAAGCCTGGATAATCCCCACACTGGGAGTTAATCCACACTCCTCAGGCCACTCCAGGCTACACTCTCTCCTCCCATCCAGTGCTCTCCCAGGAAAGGAGGAGCAGACAAGGGCTGGGAGAGGGGAAGAGCCCTGGGGACACTGGGTCATACCAGCATCCAGGGACAGAAGAGGGTGGAGCCAGCCCAGGCAAAGAGCCTGGATCTCAGGACAGAGGCAATACCATGGTTGGGGCAGGCTGCGGAGCAACGACCTGAGCAGCAGGATGGGTCCTTGGGAGGCTGGCCCAGAGCTCTGCAACATCCCTCCAGCCAGCCAGCAGTCAGGCCCCTGCAGGCGAGGCTCTGGCCAACCTCCAAGCCCCACCCTCCTTGACCTGGAAACTGGGGGCAACCCAGAACCTGGCAGCTACTGCCCTCTTGCGGCCACTCTGCAGTGGTACAATGTTCCCAGTATAAACTTGAGTGTTCACGGCCTAGAGACCCCAAAAGCCCATGGAAGCCCACCTCCCCAGACCTAACCAGTGCACAGCTCCAGTCATGTCCTCTTAGGCCCTGGTTCCTCTCAGGGCTGGTTCCCCAACTCTCCCATATTTGTGTCCCTCAGAGGCCCCCATGAGCTTATCATGACTATGTTGCATTGCAACTCTGTCAATGGCTGTCTCCCCCAGAAGGTAGGGCCCCTCTGGCAGGTCTGTCTAAGCACATCCTAGACCAGGTCTGGCCTCTTAATAACATGTGCTGTGAGGAATGAGGGTACAAACAAGGATAAATAGAACACTTTTCTGTATTTATTTATCAAAACTTACACAAATATGAGCTCATTCACCAACATAAAACATACAACCCAATACACACACAAAGCCTTGGAAAAGGCCATCAAGTACTTGGAAGGACAGGAAGGAATGAAGTTGGGCTTCTGATTTCATTTGCAAGGGTCTGGAGAGGGTTCCGGACCCAAACGCAGGAAGGCAGAGGGATGAGAAAGGCAATAAACAGAACCCTGGGTCCTGTCTGCTTTGGTACATTGTGGGTGCATCCCTGGGCATAGTCTGGCACCTGGCCCTGGTCCCTAACCAACAGTGGGAGCCAGGAGGGCAGAACCTGAGCAGCTGGTACAGGCAGGCCAGATGTGTAGCCAGAGGTCCCCTCCAAACAGCTCCCAGGCCCCTGCACGGCACAAGGTAAGACTGGGCCAGGCACTGCCAGCCCTAGCTGTCCATGTCAGAGGTTATGGTCTTTTTCCTTGTCCGAACCTTCAGGGAGCGTGAGGTGCCCTGGGGAAGAGAGAGCAGACACACATGAGCAGTGTGGGCTGAAGTCAGAGCAGCCCTCCTCTCTCCTGCCACCCTTGTCACCTACCTCCCGTGACAAAGGTTTCCTCTTGACTATACGCAGGCTCTGGCTGCGGCTCAGAGGCTTCTCTCGGGGCCGGGCTGGTGACTGGGGAACCGCCTCTGTATCTGACCAACACTCATCCTCAGTGTCACTGTCGGGCAGACCCCCTGCCCGGTACCCTGTGTGGAGGAGAGGGAGCCAGGGAAGCAAAGCGGGGCATGTGCTGTTTGAAGGCTGGGGGATCAGCCCACCTTCTTCTAGCCCTAGGGGAAGCCATAGCTCACACAGGAAGCCACCCTTTCAGGAGAGCGCCAGGCCCCTAGCCCACTCACCAATGGGTGGCCTGTGGCGGGGTATCTGGTCCTCCAGGTAGAGGGGATCCCGGTAGGTAGGGGCAGGGCCGTCGGGAATGGAGCGCAGGTCCTGCATGGAGAAGCTTCGCAGTCTTCCTGCCAGTGCCCCCTGACTCTGCAAGGGAGGGGAGCCACTGCATCACCAGGAGGGGAGAGGCGGGGCTCCTAGCAGGAACAGGCCTCAGCCAGGGCAGCTGCCAGGAAATCAAGGGCTGGCATGTAGGTGATGATGAGGCACAGACTTCAGAACTGAAAGCAACTTGGCAACCTTCCAGCCCTGCCTCTGAAGCATCAGTAGGAAACTGAGGCCACGGAACAGGAGCAGTCATTCAGTCAGTCTCAAGACAGGCTCACTGCAGTCCCAGCTCCATGCTCCTGCCAACACCCCACCTGCCATCTTTTGTCCCTGTTCCCTGACAGGGAGAACAGCTGTCTCTCAGCTTCCTAACAGAGAGCCAGAGTTGCCCAAAAGGCTCTGGGGGGAGGGCAGGGTAGGGAGCTGGTGAAGGCTGGGGGTCCAGGACACCTTGGTGGCAGCCTGGAAAGCAGCTGTAGCAGCAATGTTGAGGCCTCGCTTCCCAAAGCTGAGCACCGTCTCGTAGCTGCGCTCCTTGGCCTGCACAATGTAGGTGTCAATCTCCTGCGGACATAGGGGAGCAGGACTCAGGGACACTGGACTACAGACCTAGAGAAGCCACTGTCACGCCTCCCAGCCCATCCTCAGTCACCTGCAACCACACCAAAAGTGGGGCTCCCTACTCACTCCCATTCCCCCGACTCCCACACCTCCGTGAACAGCCATGTTCGAGCCTCCCTCCATAAACCAAACAAACTTTCCAATGGCTTCACACATCCTTTTGGTGCCCCCATTTGGTTTTCTCAGAAAAGGAAGGAGGCTAAGCTTGTCAAGGTCTACAGCCCAATAGCAGCAGGACTGCACTTAGAACCCAGACATCCCCCAGTCCAGTGCTCGTTGCCTCCCACCCTCCCCCGGGTACCTTCTCGTGGCGGGACAAGGATGGGTGGACAAACTTGCGGTAGAGCAGGCTGGCCCCCTTGGTGTAGGGTGAGAGCAGCCACAGCACAAAAGCCATCTTGATCTCATAATAAAAAGGGAACCTGTCAGAGCACAGAGGGGCCAGGTCAGCCAGGAGGCAGGCCAAGCTGGGCTACCCCACCCACAGCTTCCAGTACCCATACCAGGAAATAAAGATGTCTGTGAAGGTCTCCACTGCCATGAAGAGGGCAAAGACAATCCAGTACATCATCCACCGGACCTGGGAGGGGCAGGGTGACAAGAGGTCAGAGGTCAGCCATTTAGCCCATAGGGCGAACTCCCCTGTCCCAGGCTGACCCAGCCCAGAGATTCCAGAGAGCCTATCCCGGGGCATTCCCCTGGCATCTAGCTGGCCCTTGAGAGTTGCATCTGAGCCACTCATTCCTGTACCCACCCCTGATGGATTTCACCCCCAATCTCCTGCAGAGGAACTTCAATTGCCTGTGCTCTCTGCTCAAGATATACCATCTGATCAGAGCCCTGGAGGAGGGAGAGGTCAGCTTAGATCCCACTTCATCAAGTCAACTGCTACCACACAAGTGCCCCTCCCCCCAAGACTGTCATCAGACCCCACATGAGGCAAGCCTTCCTGCCCATTCCCCTGCACTCACATATTCACGAATATTCTTGGTCTTCACAGCCTTGTAGGAAGCATAAGCTGGGTACAGCATCCCAAACACCAGCCTGGAAGAGCAGCCGGGAAAGCAGAGGGGGGAGAGGGGAGTATTCAGGACACCATCTCCACTCCTCTGCCTCCCTAAGTGGCAACCTCCCCCAAAGAATCCAGGTGGCAGTGCCTTCCCTGTTCTTCCCGCTTGGCTGGCACAACCTGTGCCTGAGTCAGTGCCTTGGAAGCTGCCTCCCCACCCTGCTGTTTACAAACATCCCAAGCCTGTCCAGGCCTGCACCCATGGGTCCTGGGTGCATGATGGAGCGACAGCACACACTGCCACACAAGGAGGTGGGCGGGAGGCAAGCTTCTAAGCCGGTGAGAACACTAGACAGTCCCCTCCCAAAGACATGCAATCAGGCTCCGGGCCACCAGACCTGGCATCGCCAGGCTGCAGACAGGGATGTTTGAGCCAGGTGCTGGAATACTGAAAGGTAAAGAGTAGGACAGAGTGGGGAGGCTGAGGCCAGGGTAGTGAGTCATGTGACTGACAGATGGGAAGCAAGCACCTGGATTCTCCACCCACAACCTGCCACAACACCATGTGTTTGTCAAGGGGCTGCCAACGGCCCCGTGGTGCTCGACCAAGCACCTGTCCACAGTGTGTGAGTGCGGGAGGGGCCGCCACCGGCCTAGGAGGACTGGGGGGTGGGGAGACAAGCACACCGCCATGCCGCCTGCAGGGCCCCCGGGATCCGTTAACCCTTGCCGGGGTGGAGGTATCGGGCAGGAAATGGGGCGACGAGACTCAGAAAGCCTTTCCCACCTGACGCTCCCAGCTTTCACCCCGCGAGGGGAGCACACCCGGGGGCAGAGGGAGGAGGGCGATCATACTCACACCACCAGGCGACAGATCATCCAGGACACCATCCTGCAGCCTCGGGGGGCGAAGGGAGCCCCAAGAAGACTCCCAGCGGGGCGCTCACTCGGGGGCCAAGGTGGGGCAAACGGCGAGGGCGCGGGACCAAAAGGGGAGCTGGGCAGCCCCTCGAACAAAGCGGGGCCCGCTACCTCCGCAGCGCGGGGACCCCGAAGAGCCGGGCGCGGGGCGCGGGGCAGGGAGGCACCCCTAGAGCGCGGGCGCGGGCTGGGCGCTCCCCTGCCCGGCGGAGCCGCTCCAGCAGTTACCGATCTGACTCGCGCGTCCCGCCGAACCGGCCGTTCGGGCCCCGCCGCGGCGCCGCTGCGGGTCCGGGCCGGGGTGGCGGGTCGCTCTCCCCCGCGGGTCGCCGCCGCCGCCCGCACCAGCCGCGGGGCGGAGTTTGCAACTCGCTTGAAAGTTGCACGGAACTGAGCGCGGCCCAACCCCAGGGCTCCGGCGCGGCGCGCAGGCGCAGAGCGGCCCGCGGGAGGCGGGGCGAGGTCCGCGAGGCGAGAGGCCCGGGCCTTAAAGGGGCGATGCGCCGCGCCGCGCCGGTGGGGCCCGTAGCTTGACTAGCCTCCTGACCTGGGAGATCAAGGGCTGGGAAGCTGCTACCCAAAGGTGGACGGAGAAGAAGGGAATAGAGAAAATTTGGGCTGCAGGGCTTTCGCGGCTCTTCACTGACAGCCCCTTTGTTGCCTCGTTTTTCCTTTCTGTAAAATGGGAGCTGGGCTGGAGCTGGGAGAAGGGCTCTTCCTTCCAGGCTCAGGCAAGAGCTGGAAGGAGGTGTGGCTGAGGTTTGGCCCCGGTTTTATACCACTGATCAGCGGATCCGTTGGTGCCGCTAAGATCCGGAGATGATCTCGGGGTGAAGTGCAGAGGAAGTGGGGAGAGGGAATCCGAGGGACCCCCTCCCACCTCTGAAGAGTACGTGTCACTGTTGACCTCCCTTGGGAATCCCTTTCCTGAGCGCACATGCCTGGGCAGGCTGGCCCTGGGCAGTTGACAGCTTCTGGACAGAACCCTCAGCCTCCTGTGCCTTCTGCACCCCAAGTTTGAACTGCCACTCATTCCTGTGAGTGGAGAATACAAACGCCCCTAAGGATAAAAAAACAAAAACAAATATCCCTGAGAGCTTGATAATATCAACAGCTGCCGTTTTGTAGTGAATTTTTTTGAACAGGATCTTGATCTTTACAAAGATCCTTTTGTACCATTTAGGAAACATGCTCAGTGATGAAAGATAACTTGCCGAATGTCACCTGGTGGTGTTTGTTGCTGGATGGTGGATAATGTCCCCTTTAGCCAGTCTTCTGAGGGTGCCCTGGAAGGGGCACAGGCAGGAGAAGCTCCCCTGGGAGGGAGATGTATACTTGGAGACTCAACAGAGAAGGCAAACTTGCCTGCTTCTACAGCTTTCCATGTGGGGTTTCATTCTTTGCACATTTGCTTAGAGCCTCAGTTCCTGCCTTTGAAAATGGGGAGTACAGTCCGCGCATCCCACAGTCTCCCCCCTTCCTCACAGGCTGGAGTTAAGAGGGACACCACTGCTGTCCAAAGCTGTGGGAGCGGGAAACTCAGGCAGTTATTACTTTTTATTAGAGCCATAGTTAGTTAACGCCCACCAGCTATCAACAGGATGGAAAGGTAATGATGGGGGCCAGGAGAGGAGGCTTCTTGGGATAAATAAACACATGTTGATTATATAGTCTTAATTATTATCATCAATTTTATTGGTATTGCTGGGTGTGAGAGCCAGCAGTGAAACTGTCCCACAGGAGAAACTCCCCCTGAGGCCTGATGCTTCCCTTGCCCCTGGTCACCGCCCCCTCAAACTGGGCTAGCTCCCACCCTACATGAGAGGAACAAGAAAGACCAAGGCTAGGATCCCTCAGGCAGGTCGAGTCACCTTCCCTCTCTGGGCACAGACTTGTAATTGAGGTGAGAAGAACCTTGTCTCCTCTGAGCAGAAGGATGTGACTGACTCAGCAGGGGACCAGCTCGGGAGGGGGGCACAACTAGGGAGGAAGGGAAGGGTGCCTGGGCGGGCTGTGTACAGCTAGCCACGAGTCCTTTGGTGCCTGCTGTGAGCCACTTCCCCCTCAACTGCCCTCCAGAGGCCTGTGCCTGACCTCAGTGTCACTGGCCTCTCTCTGCCCCCATTTGCTCGGGAAGAGCTCTTGTGGGTCCACTGTAAGCCCTCCCACTGCGACTGTCCCTCATGTGGAAAATTCTGGTTCCTGTGCTTGGGAAATCTAAGGGACAAGATGTCAGAGGTTTGTTTGCTGAGAGCAGGGCTCAGCACGGGGGGGGGGGGGGGGGGGTTGAGGTAGGCAGCTGAGGGATGTCACCTCCTCGGTTTTGGCAGAGTGAGTGGACTCTGCCTCTCACGGCCTTTGGTCCTAAGCTGTTGACACAATCACCCAGTTACGCGAGGTTGCTAGGCAGTTCCCTAGACATGTGGGTGACCCCCCAGGGCAGGTGACCAGAGCGGCCTGCAGTGCGCTCCATTCCCAAGTGCAGAAAGCTGGGCATGCAGAGAGAGAAATGGCTCTGCCCCTGGGAGGAGTCCTGGGGGAGTGGCAGTGATATTGATGTTTATCTGCCAACGTGTCAGAGAGACTCAACCCGTTCTCCCTGGCAACCTGTCCCTGGCACCGCAAGGGGACCATTCCCTACTGGAAACTCACTCGGGCCAGGCATCTCCAGGGCAGTATGGCAGAGTGATCCCTGGGACACCTGCTAAGCCAAGGACACAGGAGCATGGTTTGAGGTGGTGGAGACCGAGACATCACCGGTGAGAGTTTCTGTTGTGACGGGTGTGGGGACCAGGTTGGCTGGGCATCTGAGGCTACAGGCAAGGTGCCGGGTATAGGGGCTCTGAGACTGAGAAAGGGTTAGAATCTCTTATCCACAAGAGCCAGTCTCCTCAAAGCTCAACCCTCTCCTCTCCCACAAAGTAGCCCTCTGTGAGCACCTCTGTCATGCGGTCCGACCGGCCAATGGAAATCCAAGTTCTGTGCCAGATACGCTATTCAAAGGCATTCCGTAGGGCCTCCCTGGTGGCACAAGGGGTTAAGACACAACCTATGAAGCTGTCCGCAGCCTCTGCAGCACGAGTTCGATCCCTGGCCAGCCAGGGAGCTACCTACATGGCGCAGCAGACCTCTCCTGTCTTGCCCGCTGCTCCCCTCAGCAGTGTATTTCAGTTAGTCTGCCTGTTCTGCTCCCCACTCTGTCTCTCATGAATCCTCTCACCCCTCTGCATCTCTGGCCTATACCACAGCTCTTTATGCAGAAATTAATATATCTTTTTTTTTTTTAATTCTTTACCTAATTTATTTTTTTTTGCTTTCTTTTTTTTTTTAAATAATAAATTTTATTTTTATATTCCCCCATACAACTGCACATGCCCCATTCTGACCCCAATCCCTCCCCTCCCGGCCCCCACCCCCCAAAAAGTGTCTCTGGTTCATAGTTTTTTGTTGATTTTGATTTTCACTTTCTTATAGTTATTCATTTTCCTGGTCCCTTATTTAAGTTTTCTAGATTCCTGCTATGAGTGAGACCATCCGGTATTTTTCTTTTTCTTTTTGGCTTATTTTGCTGAGCATGATCCCTTCCAGCGCCATCCATGTTGCTGCAAATTGCATGTGTTTATCTTTTTTGAATGCTGAATAATATTCCATGGTGTATATGTACCACATCTTCTTGATCCAGTCATCTATTTTTGGGCATTTGGGCTGTTTCCAAAGCTTAGCTATTGTAAACAGTGCTGCTATAAACATAGGGGTGCAGGTGTTCTTTGGAATTGATGTTTCTGTGTCCTTTGGGTAAATACCTAGGAGTGGAATTGCTGGATCATATGGAAGCTCTATGTTTAGTAGGTCCAGAAATCTCCACACAGCTCTCCATAGTGGTTGGGCCAGTTTGCACTCCCACCAACAATGCAGGAGAGTTCCTTTTTCTCTACACCCTCGCCAACATTTGTTGTTGCTAGTTTTTTTAATATGTGCCATTCTCACTGGTGTAAGATGGTATCTCATGGTAGTTTTGATTTGCATTTCCCTGATTACAGGCGATGTTGAACATTTTTTCATATGCCTGTTGGCCATTTGCAAGAAATTAATAAATCTTAAAAAAAAAACAAAGTCCATCCATATATTCATATCATATTATTGCCTTGAAAGCTCATAAAAACCTTGTCAATAGGCATGAGGATTATCCACATTTTACAGATGAGGAAACTCAGACATAAATGGACTAAGTGACGTGGTTACAGCCTCCCTATCAGTAAATGGCAGAATCTGGATTTGACAAAGGAGGTTTTATTATCTGCTTGATAGAAGGAGGGAGAAGCTGAGGCTTCGGGAAATCAGGCGACTTGCTTGAAATCTCACATCCAGGGCCGAGGATGGCAGCGATGACAGACATTTGCCCTGTAGTGAGGGTGGGAGAGTAACAGAAGGTCCGACCACTGGACTTGCCTCTGGCCAGGCCAGCTGGGATTGGCCTGATAGAGACAGACTCAGGGGGCCCTAAGACTGAGCCCCAGGAAGGAACACCTGGGCCGTGAGTCAGCCCCAGGTGGTGGAGACCAGTCGCACTCGCCCCACACCTGAGTGTCGTCACCATGAACTCCTCACCCCAGCACAGCTGACCTTGGGGTGCCTCCTCACACTTTACTCCTCAGTGGGAAGAGAGCCAGGAGGAAGAGTCTAAAGCTGGTGCCAGACCCTGCAAGCAGCAGGGACAGATAACATGGCCCCAGCTCTACTTTTCATAACAGCTGCCACTGATCATCGCTGTTGCACACCTGAGAGCCTGCAAACAAGGCAGGAACTTTTTATTTGAAGCAAGTAAGTCTCAGCATTGCCCCCCAAGTGCCTCTTGTGTTCTGCCAGGAGATGCCCTCAGGCAGCCTGGGCACAGGAAAGAGCCTTCTCTCCCCACTCCTCTTTACCAGCCTTGCACCCCAGTGCTGGCTGTGGCTGTTCCCAGCACACAGCAGAGGGCAGCAGAAGCCTGGCTCCCAGGGGCCCCTCCCGCAGGGCCCACACCCTTTCCACCATCAGCTAGTACTGAAAGGCAGTGATCCTGGCCTGGGCCTCTGTGGATTGAGGCGGTGCCAAAGCCCCCAAGTACTCTCCAGTCCATTCCTCTCCTGCCCTTGCCCGGATGCTTGCCTGGTCCCTGGCTTGACCCTACTCTTGGACCCTCTTGCATCCACCCAGAGAGCCAGACCAGTTCACAGTCCACATCCCAAAGGCTGGCTGAACCAGGGGGTGGTTCAGAGACAGGCTGGGGCAGCAACAGCGGCAGGAGAGAAAAACAGAAAGGCTTTTGCTTGGATGGTCTCCTGTCCACAGCTGAGCTGGATCCAGGGTCAGAGAAGGAAATTGCAATGAGAACGAGCCTGCTCTAGGAAGAAGCCTGCTCTAGGAAGAAGCCGGGGCTGTTGGGACTCTCATTACTGCTTTGGGCAGAAGGGCTTTGCCCCCAGGAGGTCAAGCTGTAGCCCGGAAGCTGGTAGGATCATTCCCATCCTTATGAGCTGCAGGGCGGGCATACCAGGGTGCGCAGAGGAGGAACAGGCACTATGTGCCCTCTCCAAGTAGAGTCAAGGGGATGGAGGGACCCCCTAGGCAGCTGAATCTGCATGTGTGCACCTGGAAATGGGGGTGAAGACAGTTGTGTGAGCGTGTGCCTGAGGGTTCCATCAGCATCCACGTGTGCATGCAGAAGGAGAGCAGTGTGGGTGAGTACACCTGGCAGGATGAAGGATGTGGGCTATGAGTGGAGCATGAGTAGGTAAACGGACAACTGGAGCACCAACAGGAGAGACCAAGGGCCAGAAGGAAAAGTCAAGGAGCAGGAGGGGTGGTTCAGCCTCCCTTCTCCATCACCCCCTCCAGAGCCAGAGTATTTTAAAGGCAGCAGAGCAAGTGGGGGGTTGTTTAGAGATGGGTATGGGTTGACAGGTGTCTACAGATAGGGAGGTCCTAGGTGCCGGGTTGCCTGGTGCATAGACAAGTCTTCATGCTGATTACAATGCTGAGAAGTGACTCCCTGGCTAGTCCATGGTACATGCCTGTGCTCACGGGAGGTGCACGTGAGGGCACAGGTGCAGGCTGGCTACGCGTGTCTTCACACAGGCACACACGCTGTTCACACAGAAGCTCCTACCCAGCTTCCAGCAGCTGCCCGAGGAACCCAGAGACCTCGGCAGCCCTAGGCACTGAGATCCACCACCACGTGTCGGTACACGAGTGTCTGTCCCTTAAAGCTGGGGGCCAGGAGCAACTGGGCATCCCCAGCAGGCATGTAGCAGAAAGCCCGAGGGGCCTGCACGGCCAGCTCCTGGAACCGGACGAACTTCTGTCGCCCCTCATCCCACTGGTAGATCTGCGTGAAGGAGAAGTCGCTGCCCAGTGCCAGGTAGCGGCGGCCACCCACAAGGAAGGGCTGTAGGGCCAGAGAGCCCCGGGAGGGCAGGGCCTGCACCTCAGAGAAGCGGGCGCCCTCCCAGCGCAGGATCTTGGAGTCGCCGATGTAGCGACTGAGGCACAGGTAACTGTCTCTCCCGGCCCGGAAGTGTTTCACAGCCTGGGCATCAGGCACCTGGGTCACCTCGCCCTGGGCCACAAACTGCTTCTGGGAGCGACTCCACTGATAGATGACCGGCGCCTGGGAACTGCTAGACACGATCAGCCTCGGCTTGCCCTCCCCGTCCACAAACTCCAGGTCGGTGTCGCGGTGCCAGGGGTGCAGAGCCTGGTGGGAGTAAAAGCCATTCTGGTGCCAGCGGTAGAGGCTGGTGGCACCTGCCTTAGAACTGTCAGCCACAGCAAAATACCAGTCGCCCTCGATGCGGAAGGCCTCAAGGTCGTTGGGTTTGCGCACACGCTGGGGGTCGATGTCCTGCAGCTTGGTGAAGCGCGTGGTGTTGGGGTCCCAGTGGTAAATATAAGAGCCGCCAAACAGCTGGGCCACAACTACGTACAGCTGACTGTCCACCACCATCGGCTTGCAGTGCACCGCGGAGGGGGCTGTCAGGACAGAGGGAGGCAGCATGAACTCCTGCCCCAGGCTACACCCTCAGGAAAGGGGGTCAGTCCCCTCTCATCCGGGACCACAGCTAAGGCTCCCTGCTACAGAATCCCACCTCCTTTGACATTCATCCACCATTGCTCAATGTTTTCTCACAGTTTCACAGCTAATAATTAGCTCACCTTCCTGCCACGCCTGCTCCCCAGGTTCAAGTACCATTTTGTGCTGGTACTAAGCACAAAATAGGTGTCCCTAGATAGACACCTATGAACTACTGGCTGGTCGGAAAAGTCATGACTCATTTTTTTCTGTTTTCTGTGCAAAACTTCCAACAACCCAGTATTATGTCATTGACTTTTAAGATTTATTTATTTATACAAGAACTGGGGTACAGTCAGAGGCGCAGGAGGGTGAGAGGATTCACCAGAGACAGAGTGGGGAGCAGAACAGGCAGACAGATCGAAGACACTGCTGAGGGGAGCAGCGGGCGAGGCAGGAGAGGTCTGCAGTGCCATGTGGGTTTCTCCCTGGATGGCTGGGAATTGAATTCGCGCTGTAGAGGCTGTGGACAGCTTCACAGCATGGCACTCAACCCGCTGTGCCACCAGGGAGGCCCATGTCATTGACTTTTTATTATGTACTGTCACTATGCTAAGTGAAAACACATTGCTTCAGTTATTTGTGCTGAAAAGGACCTATTATTTTTCTATTTCACTCACAGAGAAACCGAGGTTCATAATCTAAGTTACTTGCCCAGAGCTACCCCCGCAGCTAGCAAGGGATCAGGCAGGGGAAGAAGGAAGAGGTTGAGCTTGGCCATAATGAGCTGATAGGACCTACGTGTGCAAAATGACACCTGAGTGTTTGAATGCTTGTGTATAAAAACCATGCCAAAGAGCTCCCACCTATGAAAGAGCTTTTATGTCTGAGAGTCTGTACAAGTATACTTGGACTCACAGCCCAGAGCATATGGGGCCACACACCTCACCTGACCCGGGGTGTCCAGTTGTCACCTCTCATCTCCTGCTTCACCCATGCTCCTCCTCCTGGGAGCCCACCTACACTGCATGGTAGTGCACTGAGTGGATCTGAACCTGGCCTGCCCACATGCTGAAGTCCCCAGCTCCTAAGCTGCCACTCAGACCCTCCTCCCCTGCATAAGCACTTCAAACCCTCCTGGGTCAAAACTGAGCTGCAGCTCTACCCCCAGGTCCCATGTATACCCCGCCTCCTGTGTTCTCAATTTCAATTTGTGTTTTCACCCAGTCACCCCTCCCCATGTCTTCCTCTCCTTCACTCACCCATTGCTGATCAGTCCCCAAGTCCCGCCAACCCTCCTTTCTGCTTTCTAGTATAGTTTGTGTAAAACTGGTGCCATTTCTCCCTTCAGTGTTTGATAGAATTTGTCAGGGAAACCATCTAGACCTGGAGTTTCTTTGGGGAAAATTTTCTATAACAACTTCAAGTTCTTTCAGAGGTATCAGGCAATGTAAATTTTGTGCATCCTCTTGTATCAGATCAGTCCTCCCTTGCAAATAGATCTCTCCAGCCCCACTGCTTCTGCCCCAGTGCAGGCTCCTGCTAACCCCCCTACTGGTCTGCCCACGTCTTGCCCCAGGCTGGGACACCCTTCACACTGTTCACAGAGAGAGTTTTCTAAAATACAGATTGGATTCTTTCACACACTCTGCTCAACAGCTGTCAATGACCTGACCCTCATCTCTCTCTGGTCTTGCCTGCCACTCTCCACATTGAACTTTATGTTGTAGCCAGACAATATATATGCACACATGTGCATGCACTCACACACTAAGCTGGTGCACAGCTTCTTGACTCTGTTCATGCTGTTCCTTCTGCTAGAACACCCTTCCCAAATTTTTTTTCTCCTAGTCAAATCTCTTTCAGCTTTCTAGGCTCAGTTCAAACTCTGTGGATTCCAAAGAGAGCTCACTAGCCACTCCTATTTCCCCCTCCTTCGCTCACTCTTTCAATTACTTAAGCCAGAAAACTGGGCATCACCTCTGATTTCTTCCTCTCCCTCACTCCTCAAGACTCAGTTTAGACACCCCCTTCAGCAGGAAGCCTTCCTTAATTGAACAAAAGAGGCCTCTCCTTTGTGTTCTCAAAGCATCGTATTCATTTTGCCCTCCTAGCACTTATTATGTGGATGTCATCTGGATATATCAGCCTCCTTTCAAAGACTGGAAAGTTCTTATGGACAGAATCCATGTCTCATCTATCCTTCTACCTATAGAGACACAATAGAGTGGATCAGTGGAGCTCATTGCAACCCCCAGCCTCCTATTAGGGCCTCACAGTCCGTGGGGCACAGGTACCTGGGATCCGATCATAGTCTCGAAGCTGCCGTTCCACATAGTCCCACTTGAGGACAGTGCAGGCACTGGCACCTGGCTGGGCCAGAGCCAGATAGAGGTCGCTGGAGTAAAGGAAAGGCTCTGCAGACACTGCTGGGAAGGACAGGGTCTGGTACAGCACAAAATCTGTAAGGATGAGAGGTGTGTGGGGAGAGAGAAGGTCAGAGCTCTCTGGGTGGTAATGTTGCTCAACTCATGAGGCAGGTCATGGGGGGTTCAGGCAGTGCCTTCGGAGCTGTCCCAGGGAGGCCCAGCCCAAGGCCGGGCACCTCCTACCTGTGGTGATGCAGTCGAACTCCCGCAGCGGCAAGTCTTGCACCTTGTGCTCTTGGAAGCGGGGTGGGCTGGCACAATAGATGGGGGCCACCGTGGTGTTGGTGTGTGCCAGCCATTCTACCAGCCACTTTACCTTGCAGTCACAGTTGAGCGAGTTGCCTCGCAGGTCCCTGGATCATGAGTGATGGAGGGGACACAGGGAGAAAAAGGCGCTCAGAGCCTCTGCCCACACAGGCCCTCTAGGTTTTCAGAAGTAAATACCGTCAGGGCGGCTGCTTGCTCACACAGCATCTTTGTGCCGATCAGAGACTGCTTCCCTTGCAGTGGAGGCAGCCCTGGGGACACAGGCCTGGCCAGTATCGTGGACGCTGAGTTCCAGGCCCTGCCTACCCCCTTGGCCAGGTGCCTTTTGCAGTGCATACCCTGCCCAGCTGTAGGCTGCATCCTGGTTCAGCCAAAGCTTCCCCAACACAGGGCTTTACTTTGCTTGCATAAACACCCGTCAATGACCGTGGCTCTGCTACAGGACTTTATGTAGATTCAAGTCAAACACACATATAATAAATACACTTTGAAAAAAAAAAACATACACATATAATATATTGGCCATTTTTAAAGGGTCCATAAATGCCTTGAAGAACCCCAACTTAGAAGGCTACCAATCTTGGAGGTCCCCCAAACCCAAACCTTCCAAGCCTCTCAAGACCCTATTTTGTACCAACTCCAGCTCCCACCACACTCCCTCTGGGGACACTCCCCTCTGTCTGAAGAGGTGGCCCCAGGCCTTACAAGTCGCTCAGGATGTCCAGGGGCCGAAAGATGTCTCTAGGCAGTGTCTGCAGGTTATTGTTGGCCAGCGAGCTGCAAGAGAGACCCCCAGGTCACCTGAAGCTGGTGACTGAGGCCAGAGGCCAGAGCTGGGCTTTGCTCCAGAGTGCCTATGTGTGTGATGTACTCACAGGTGTGTCAAAGACTTCAGTCCCCTGAAGGTAAACTTGGACAGGGCCCAAATGTCATTGTTCTCAATGAAGCTGGAGGAAACAAGAACTTGTCTCAGCCACCACTCAGGACCCCAGGCCCCCAACAGCTATTTCCCACAGCCCACGGCCCTGAATAGTTCCAGCTCAAGTCTGGTGACACTGAGCCCATAGAGACAAGGCATCAAGGCAGGATGGTGAGGCAGAGGGACGGATGGATGAAATGACGCTCTGTGTGCACCCTGCCCTCAGAGGACACAAGGGCTCTCACCTTCCCCCGCCTCACTCACTCAACTGCCCTTCTCAGCCCACCCAGGCCCAGAGTCCTCCTCCCTCCTGTTTCCCCTTCCCTGTCCTGCCCACACACAGGTACTGCAGGTGCGACAATCCTGTGAAGGCGTTGTCTCCAATCAGCGTAAACTTGTTGGAGTTGAGCAACCTGTGGAGACAAAGGTGGAGTTAGACCTTCAAGGGTGTGCCCGCTGCCCAGGCCCCAGCCTGCTGCCTTACCTCTGGGCTTCCCCCTGGCTGCCCTGCCTCCATAGCTCAGGACCCCAGCAGACAGCCCCAAGGTCACTCAGGAGCCTGCTTATTCCAGCCCCAGAAGCCACAAGCTCCCAGGGTCCTGTTTGCTCCCATGTTAAAAAGTTAGGGACCAGCCTCTCCTGTCAAACTGGGTCCTTCCCAACAGTGTACCTCTCTCCTTTTCCCCACCCTCACCCTGATGCAAGATCAGTGCTGAATTTGAGAATATCCCACGGTGAGAGGAGGTGAGCTAAGTGTCCTCTCTCCTGTACCCCAACCTTCAAATTTAAACAGACCCTTTTAGAATTCTAGACCCTCTGTCTCCCCTCCCTGTCAGCTCCCCTGCTTTCTTCAAAGCCTGATACCTGGGGTCACTTGTCTCTGAGATGACTCTTCCCCTGACAGTGTCCACTCTGCCTAACTTACTGCACCCAGTTTCTTTGGGTCTCCAGAGGAAGCAAATCCATTCCTAACTGGGTGCCAAAGACCCTCTTCTAGGCTTTTGCTAGAAGACCCTGCTTTCCCCAAATGCTACTCTTTGGCCCATCCTGACTGCAGCTGCACCACATTGTGGGTGTCCCAACGGAGTGGCAGAAAGGTACTCCTGCATCCCAATCTCCAAAGGCGACCTCCAGTTGCTCGCCTCTCCCCAGGCCAAAGCCTGACTTGTCTACTGTCCCACCCGCCCTCCTGTGAGGTCTGGCCCATACAAGAACTGCAGCAGCGGCAGGTGGGCAAAGGCTCCATCCTGGATCTCCGAGAAGGCAGCGTTCACCAGCGTCCTGCAGGGGACACCCAAGTCAGTACTGTGGGGAGTACGCAAGGTCAGCACTAGAGGCATGAGGTGGACAGGCCATGGTATTTCTGTTCACTTGCCCTGGAAATTCCCCACTTTGCCAGCCTGGGCCCTCACCTGGAGCAGCTTTTCCCTTGGGGCAATCGCACTGCCTCCCTTCATCCTCACCCTCCCCTCCTGCCTCCCAGAGCACTCATGGCCCCAGGCTCCACTTCCCCCTCAGCCAAAAGAAATTTCCATTACCTGCACCATCATCCAAACACCCACAGGGTGCTGGGTGCTGTGAGGGGTGGAGCACTAGAATGGGTTGGGGGGTGCGGGATTAGCACCCTGCTCTCCAGGACCACACAACCTATCTCATCCCTGAGACCATTCGCTGCAAGTGACAGGCTGGCTGGCCCCTGTGCAGAGTGGTTGACAGACCAGTGGCAGGCGCCTGCCCCATGCCAGGGTACCATGTGGGTGTATGTCACTATCCCTCCCCCACTGCCATGCTCCCTCCCCCCACAAGGAGCCTTTCTGCCCTTGATGTGACATCACAGGCAGGGATCCACATGCTGGGGTAAACAACCTCCCTGCCCCCAAGTCCAGAGCCCTGCACACAGTAGGTGTCATTGACGATGATGGTGATGATTCATTCTTGGCTCTAAACTCCTCTTTCCCCAGCCATGGCTGCTGAGCCTGCATGACTGCAGAACTCCCTTCCTGGCTGACACCCGGAATCTCCTGTTCTGAGGATTGCCTGGAGAAGTCCTGGTCCCCACACTCTGAAAGGGGAAGCAGGAGTTCTTCCCACCCACTCCGGGAGAGGTTCTTACCCTCCTGCTCTCCACCCACCCCCCACCCCCAGGCCAGGGCTGGGCACTCACAGAGAGATGACCTCCGAGGGCAGGTTCCTGGGCACCGCCTTAGAGTCCACACAGAAGGCGGTGTCCCTGGTGCAGGAGCAGCTGGGTGGGCAGGGGGGCGTCTTGGGAGGCCTCTTGGCACTAACTTGCAGCATTAAGCAGAAGCTCAGCGTGGACAGCGCCAGCAGCCTGGGCCCAGAGCCCCACCTGGGCCGCAGTGCTACCATGCTGCCTGCAGGCTCTCCCTCAGGCCACCAGCCACGACCCCCCACCCCGCCCCACCGCTCTCTGCCACCCCCTGCGGGTTGGCACCCCGGGCTCGCTGCTGCCAGCAGCTGCAGCTAGGGGCCCGCTGCGGAGAGCGGACTCCTGCAGCCCTCAGGCGCCGGCTGCTGTCCCCTCCCCTGCTCGCTCCCGCGAGCCGGCTCAGAGATGCGCGGAGCCTTAGTGGAGGCTGACCCGGCTGGGGTGGATGCGGACTGCGGCGCGGGCGGCGGGGGCGCGCAGCGCAGAGGGGGGAGCCCCGGGCTCTAGTAGTCAAACAAAGGCGCACTTGCGGCCCTGGCTGCTGTGTGCCCCACCGCAGTCTCTGGGGCCATCTGTCTGCGAGTCTGGCACACAAGCGTCCATGCGAGTGCATGTGTGCAAGGTAGAGCTGAGCACCGTATGGTGACGTGTGTGCACGTGTGCATGTGTGTGCCCCGCGCCGTACCAGCTCATGAGCATATTTCCTGGGGGAGGTATTTTTGTGCCTCTGTGTGTGTTTTTTGGCCCCCAGGGGTCACATCCTCTAGGCAGAGTTCATGGATGTGTTGTAAGTGACATGCGTGCCTGTGTTCACATGTGTTTCCACAGGAGAGTGAGCAGAATGTGCCTTTATATCCGTGTAAGCCAAAAAGAAAAATGTCATTGAAGCTGGAGTGGGAACCGTGCAGTTCTGGAACATTTTTTACTACACATCCCCTGGCTGTTGGAGCTGGGAAGAGCCTTGGACATTTTCCAGTCCTGCCCTCTGTTTAAAAATGAGGAAACTGAGGCCCCAACCAAGAGGAAAGCAGCCAAGCTTGGTATCACATCTACTCCGTGTTGTGCTCTGTCTTCTGAATTCTCCCAGCCTTTTGAGGTAGACACAGTCACTTCGCATTTGCAGAGAAGGAAAGTGAGGCCCATTCCACCAGGCGGAAAACATGCAGGGCAGGTGTGTAAACCAGCTTTGCCCAGCCCATACGTCAACACCAGGGGTTTCCCAAGGGTATTCTGGGGCCCATCTGCCTTGACAACTTTTCAGGGTGTCATGAGAGCAAACTAATTTTCTAAATAATGTTAGGACATTATTTTCCCGTTTCACTTCCATGCTCACACAAAATACCTGAAATTTTCCAGAAACTACATGATGTATCATCTAGCAAGCTAGAGTAGAGATTTGCAAAAATGTAAAATAACAACGGTCTTCTAATATTTTTTTTTGCTTTGTAAAAGTTATTTTCATTTAAACAGTGTGCTGTTAATGTTATAATAGGTTAATTATTGCTATTTTAAATAAATTAATATTTTAAATTTCCCGGGAAATAGCAATAGGTAAATAGCAATAGATATGAACCACATTAATAATTCTTTTTAAAAAAAGATTTATTTGTGCGTCCAAGAACTGGGTACAGACCAGAGGTGCAGGGGGTGAGAGGATTCACCAGAGACAGAGTGGGGAGCAGAACAGGCAGACTAACTGAAATACACTGCTGAGGGGAGCAGCGGGTGAGACAGGAGAGGTCTGCTGCACCATGTGGGTCACCTGGCTGGGGACTGAACTTGTGCTGCAGTGGTTGTGGATAGCTTCATAATGATGATACTTAACCCCTTGCGCCACCAGGGAGGCCCCCACATTAATAATTCTTTAGGGTCCTCAATACTTTAAAGAATATTAAAGAGTCCTGAAGTCAAAAAGTTCGAGAACTCCATTCTATGTTGCCTCCCTGGGTTCAGTGTGTGACTGTCACAAGAGTTCATAGGTACAGGACAAGGGGAGCCTAAATCTGGGGACTAGGCTCCCAGTCCAGTGCTCTTACCACAACAGTCCAGAACTGAGATCACTGGGTTTAAGATGCCACCCCAGCTGTTCCCAGCCTCTGCCAGCAAGGGATTCTCTGGTCAGAGCTTAAGTCTGTGTTCCCCAGCCAGGGATGCCCCTTTGATACCCACTTGTCACTCCACCCATCCAGCTGCCGGTGCTGCCCTCCCCATGCTAGTTTGTGGGAAGAAAAGCAACAGGGGTGGGAGGGTGATCGGGGCAGCTGGGCAACCGTTCCCACCCGTCCCTGGCACGGTTCTGCTCAGCACACAAAGGGCAGAGTGACTCTTGTCCCATCCCCTGCAGCTGAGGGACTAGAAGGAGGAATGGGGGAAGCACACATGGAAGGGGTGGCTACCCTGGGGTGCTCCATCACTCAGCATTCTCAGAAGGGCTTAAGTCAGAAACAGGCAAAAAGGGTGAGTCTGGGTCCTATTCTTAACAGGTGAAAAGAGGTGCCCTGGAGGATGAAGCAGAAGATGACGGTCATCACCATTCACACCACTGTGTCACTGGATCCTCACAACAGCTTGGAGAGGGCACAGGACAGGCAGAGCTAGTCCCATTTCACAGATGAACACAAAGGCCTAGAAAGGTGGTTTGGTGACAGTCTTATGATTAACTATAATTGCATGTTGGCTGCCTGCATGCTCCATGTTCTGGTATAATGAAGCCTTGGGAAAGCATGGTCCCAGGGCCAGTCCCAGAGTGGGCAGCTGGGTAGGGAAGAGATGGCAGCATAAAGCACCTGTGTAGGTAGTGAGAAAGTGGTGCTCTGTGACTGGGAGATTTCAGAGAAGGGGGCAGCATGGGCTGGGGTGGTAAGTTTACCGAGCAGGTGCCACTGGTTCTTGCCTGGCATTTTAGGGTGGGAGTTAGGTGGGGACATGGAAGGGCACAGAGGGTGGGCTTTCCAGGGGAGGGAAATGGCCTAAGTAAAGGCCAAGAGTGAGATGGCTGTGCGGAGGCTTGGGTTGGGGGCAAGGTGACAACTCTGGGCCTAACTAACAGTCCGGTCCTTCCCTCCCTCCCTCTTTCTCCAAGGTTCCCAAGATCCTGGCCAGGCTGGTGCCAAGTGAAACTTGAGGCCACCCCTTCCTTCCCCAACCTTCAAATAGCTAAAAATATAAATTTAAAAATGAAAGAAAAAGGCGTACAGTTTGTGAGAACTATAACCTCTGCACAGAAGACTGATATCCTGCAAACACAGAGGCTTCTCTCCAAGAAAGAGACCCCTTTTCCAACACTGGTGTTGATGGCAAGCCCTGCTCACAGTGTCTGCTCAGAACAAGCCCCACAGCTGGACGCTGTGCCCCTCAGATGCCCACAGAGACCCCGAGATACTCTAAAATTCTCCTTGGTTCTCCCATTGGCCTGCAGCCCACCTGGCTCAGGCCCAGTACTCACCAGTCAGCCAATCAATCCCAGCGTTGCCAGGACAACTGGGGGTGTCTGTGGGGGCAGGGGGGAGGGGAGCACTGCAGGGGGGTTGTCTCCTACATCTGGCACCTGCACTGGGCTGAGGCTGCTCACAGTTGAGAAGAGGAGCCCACCCCCCAAGAAGCCCTTCCCCCCTCTTTGGTGCCTCCCAGGGCACTTGCTGCGGGACTTAGGTAAATATTTAAAGAGGCAGTTGGGGAGTGAGCGGGTGGTGGGAGCAAACACTTCCTTCCCTCTCTGCTTCCCTGAGCTTCTCAGGGGCACTCAACTCAGATGTGAGGCTGTTATGCAAGCTGAAGGCGAGGGCCCTCCAGCTGGGTAAGAGGTCCTCAGGGGAGGCTACCAGGGCCGGAGAGTTAAGGGCCAGCTCATTGTTGAAGGCATGAGGTCAAGGTGTGCGTGAGGGCCCCCCCCCCACCATGGGACAGGAAATGGGATGAAGTGTTGAACCATAAAGGACAGTAAGAGACTCAGCCTAAGAGAGAAGTGGGTGCAAGGCTATGATTTACATGCTCAGGAAAGTTGAGGGGAAGGCGTGCAGAGACACCTGGCCCAGCCAGTGGAGGGGAGCCTGAGAGGAAGGATGAGGCCAACAGTAGAATGGGTTTAGCAAACAAGCAACAGAGGTGGCTCTGGGGAAAGAAGTAGGAAACAGAGAGGAGGCCTCGCAAATAGCACTCCCAGGGCACACTTAGGATCAGAGGATGTAAAAAGAGGAGGGCAGAGGGCAGGGCCCTTGCAAGTGGGCTATGTCATAGGCAAAGAGTTTGGGATCCCCTTTTGCCCACCCAGTGGGCAAAGTGGGGAATATTCCACCAAGAGCCTTCATCTCTCAGCTCTGGCCATAATGGTCATGAAGGTGGAGTCGGTGGGTGTGCTCAGCCAAACAAAGAGACTGGACACGGGATCACGGCCCCCAAAATGCTGAATGTTTGCTGCACAGGCTTAAAAATGTAGAGAATAAAGCTGCATTTAGGGTTTCAATGTAACCCTCTGGTCACTGAGTATGTCTGGGTGAACAGAGTCCCCAAGAGACACCGCTGAATTTATAAAGCTCACGGCCACATTGACCCTACACGAGCAATGGTTGGGATGTCCCCTCCTGAAAAAGAACACTGCTCTTAAAGCAGAAGAGAAGGTTGCACAGAAGGAAAAAAAATACTTGAGAAGAAATGGAAGCAACAAAACATACGACCGGAAGGAAGAAATTCATCACAAAACAAATGCAAATAAAAATAATGAGGTGGAGGCGGGGAGCCTCCAGCTTGCAAACAAGCCCATAGCAAAGAACTAAACACTACAGGTTACTAATTAAGAATTTGTAACCAGAGGAGACAGTTTTTAGAATTAGGAAAAAATGACTGGGGGCAAGTCTGAGGTTAGGTTTCAGATGTGTGGGAGGAGGCGAGGTGGGAAGAGTACTTAGAGGAAAAAGCACCAGGTCCCAGAGAGGTGACCATTCTCAGACCCTCATGCTGAGGCCAAAGCACCCGCTAGGGTCTACAGGCTCTGCTCTCACAACCTTTCCTGGGGATCATCCCAACGATTGGGGGGAAATTCCGTTGGGAGATGTGGTTGCCCCGTTGGGTCAGACCCTTGGCTGCCTGGGAGATAGAACCTGGCAGAAATGTAGGGAAAGGCCATGGGACTGTAGGGGCAGGTGCCAGCAAGAAATTCAGGCATGCCAAGAAGACACCTACGGGTGAGAGGTATAGATTGCCCAAGGGCAAGTTTGCTCAGCTCACCCGGCTTAGCTCTCTTGGGGGCCAAGAGGACTCATGTGCCAGGGCCAAGGGCCCTTAGGTGCTCTTGCAGTTGGCTTATCAGGACCTCAGTTCTGGAGAGCCAGGAACAAACAGACTTCAAAGCCAAGAGCTTGGCTGGCCCATAGGGACTCAGTCCTTCACCTCTGTCTCCTCTCCCTGCTGGTGCATAAAAGACCCCAGTGTCACTGGGGAGTCGAGGAGGAGAAAGCATTTGCTGCAAGATGGATGTGAGCAGCAAAGAGGTCTTGATGGAGAGCCCACCGGTGAGTGTGAGTGGGTGCATGTGCATATGTGTGTGTGCGGGAATGCACGTGTTGTGTGTTGGACCCTGCCTCCTCCAATCTCTCTAGGCCTGTTTCCCCATCTAAATTCATGTACTCAACTACCCTAGGACTGTGCTAAGTTAGGAGAGGGATACCACCACAAGACGGAGTCTCTCGGGGAGCAGAGGTGGCAGAGGCCAGTGGAAAGGACTGTAGAGATCACTGAGTGAGGGGCTGTTAAACCCGTAGGTGGTCACAGGGAGATTCGCAGAGAAAATGATATTTGAGCTGGTTCTAGAAGAGTAAGTAGGAGCGCATCAGGTGGAGGAGGAGAAAGGCATTGCAGAAATAGGGGATAGTCTGTGTAAAGGGGTGGAGGTATGAGACAGCATGGATTCTGGGGGAACAGAGAGGAATTAGGTGGTGCTAGAGGCTGGAGGAAACAACAGAAGAGACTGGTGAAATAGGCTCTCTTGGGACTCTCTAAGCTAGACCTTAATTCTAAGATTTGTGGGTTGGTTGGAATCTAGGCCTATTCCTCCAGGAAGCCTACTCTGATAACCTCTGCTCTCCTCCAATTCAGAGCATTGGTTGTCCAGCTCTAGGAGAGTTTGGGAGGGTGTCCAGCTCATGCACGGAGAAGAGGGGGCATGCCTATGACCTCACACCTGTTTCCTTTCCTCCCCACCACATCAGGACTACTCAGCAGCACCCCAGAGCCGGCTTAAGATCCCCTGCTGCCCCCCGAAACTGAAAAGCCTTCTCATCGTGGTTGTGGTGGTCGTTCTGGTCGTTGTAGTGATTGTAGGGGCCCTGCTCATGGGTCTTCACATGAGCCAGAAGCACACTGAGATGGTGAGCAGACCTGGAATGATGGGCAGTGGGTACAGGGCATGCCAGGCAGAGAAGTTAGGCAGGCTGGGCAGATAGCACACTGCCCAAGGGGAATGGAGGAGAGGAGCCTGGGGCACCTCGTGGAAGGGCAGAGGTAGGAAGGAACAGGTGGCAAACTCAGCCTGGGCTTTTCCACCAGTTTTGCTCAGCCTCTCAGAACTTCAGTAAAGAGGATGGGGGTGGACATGCACTGAAGGAGTGACTGGGGAAGGGGGATGCAGGGAGCATCCCCCTCCTCAGCTCCTTCACCCTCAGGTCCTCGAGATGAGCATTGGTGGGCCGGAAGCCCAGCAACGCCTGGCCCTGAGCGAGCGCCTGGGTGCCACGGCCACATTCTCCATCGGCTCCACTGGCATTGCTGTCTACGACTACCAACGGGTGGGTATGCCTGGACCTCTCCACCCTAGGGCCCGGAGGTCAATGGCAAGACCTTGTTAGACCCACCCAGCTGTGCCACTTCATGCCAGCCATCTCCCCACCCCCACCCCCAGCCCTTTGCCTCCCTGGGGTCTGCCTGAGCCCCAGATCCCAATGATTCCTTCTTGTGCCCAACCAAGAGGGAGGGGGCTCAGACGAGGGCTAAGAAGTGAGCAAGGCAGGGCCTTTCTGAATAAACTCTGGCACCCCTATGCCCAGCTCCTGATTGCCTACAAAGCAGCCCCGGGAACCTGTTGCTACATCATGAAGATGGCTCCGGAGAGTATCCCCAGTCTTGAGGCTCTCACTAGAAAATTCCAAAACTTCCAGGTGTGTGTATGGGTGAGCAGAGGGCTGTCTCTCTCCCAGGGCTGCTGGGAGGAGCATTTGAATGATGTGGGTCACTAGGTGACAGCCCCTGTCTAGACTCACCTGCACCTCACCTTCCCTATGCATGCCCCAGCCCACCCACTGCCCAGGCTGTTGGGCCTCAACACCACCTGGTGGCTTCTGAGTCCAGCACAGGACCCTCTTTACTGGTGAGGAGACTGAGGCTCAGAGAGACTGCCTGACCCCTAAGGCCTCACAATGAGGGCAGAGGAATTACAGTTCCCAGGCTCCAAATCGGGTGTTCTTTTCAGTTCAAGCCTGAAGGGCCTACCTCTAAGCTAGGCCAGGAGGAGGGCAGTGACCCAGGCTCAGCATCCTCCAGGGAACTGGCCCTCCTGGGCATCACCATGAACACCCTGTGTGGAGAGGTGCCCGTCCGCTACATCTAGGATTCATCAGGTGAGCAGCAACTCCAGAGGGTTTGGGCTGCGTGGCCAAACACCACCTCAGCTGAGTGGACAGCAGGGAGCACGCGCCCGAGGGAAGGTTCTTCTCCCGCACACATCAGTAATAGTGCTCCTTGGCTTCGCAGGGCCCGTGGAAACCCCGGGAAGGAAGGAAAGACCCGGAGGTAAAGGGTCTTTGCAGACAGGCAGGAAGTTGCTCCTGCCCAAGCCACAGGGACTGATCCCGGAGAAATGGGAGCCGTGGGGGGAATGGAGGGGTCAGGAGAGGTGGGTGCCCTGGGCCAGGGCCACAAAGAATAAAGCAGCCTGACTGAGAAACAATGGGTGTGCCTCCTCCTCTCTCGCCCGTCGGTCCCGCTCACGCAGGGGCCTCGCGGGGGCCCCGGGAGCTCCCCCTCCGTGCCGGGGCGGCGCGGGACAGGGGGCAGCAGGAGGGACGTGGGGCGCAATCTGCGGGCTTCTGGCGCCCCCCAGCGGCGCCTCCCGGGAAGGCGCGGACGGAGACCGCGAGGACTGCGGGACCGACCAGGACCCGCCGCCGCGGAGATGGGCGCGAGCGGGGTCCGGGCGCCGGGGAGCCCGGGGCGCGGCTGGGACGCGCCGCGGGCCGGCGCCGGGGGCAGCGGGCGAGGGGCGGCCCCGCCAGCGCCCCGCGGGCGGGCCCCGCGGCCCGGGAGCAGCCGCCGCTAGAGGGCACCTCGCGGGCGCGGCCGCCGGCCCGACACCCCGGGGTCCGGCGCCCCCGCCCGGGCCCGGCCCGGACCCCCGCCCGGGGCCGGCCGGCTGCGCGCCCATCCCCGCCCCCGGCTGGCGCGCCGCCCGGCCCGGCCGCGCGCGGCCCCGGCCCTGGGGGGGCTGAGCTCCGGGCGAAAACCCGCCCTCCAGAGCTCATTTCCCTGAAAAGGGGGGGCGAGAGGGAGGGCGCGAGGGAAAGGGAGACGCCGCGGGGAAGGGCGCGCGGAGAGAGAGCCGGGCGCCGGGAGCTGCCGCGGGGCCGGCCGGAGAGGGGGCGGGGGACAGGAAGGAGAGAGGCGAGGAGAGGGAAGGGGAAGAGGTAGGCGCGCGGGGGGAGCGGGGGGCGGGAGCGAGCGGGCCGGCCGAGGGGAGCGCCTCCCCCTCGCCTCCAGTCCTCGGCTGCCCCTCGCGCCCGCGCCCGCGCCCGGGACCCGCTGCCACCGCCGCCGCCCGCGCCCCGGCCGCCAGCATGCCCGGCGCGGCCCGCCCGGCGCTGCCGCTGCTGCTCTGGCTGCTGCTGCTCGCGCGCCCGGGCCGGCCGCTGGACTTGGCCGACTACACCTATGACCTGGGCGAGGAGGACGACCCGGAGCCCCTCAACTACAAAGACCCCTGCAAGGCGGGTAGGCGCCCCCCACCCCCGCGGCCGGCCGGGGCGCGGGGGGCCGGCGCGGGCGGGCCCGGCGGGAGGCGCGGGCTGCCCGGGCTTTGGGGTGGGGAGGACGGTCCAGTGTGGGAAGCCGGGAGCTGCCTGGTTGGCAAGGCAGTGGGGAACAAAAGAAAGGGAGAGAGGGAGGGGAAGTTTGGGGGACTTTTAGGACTGAAGTTATGCTGCCGTTGGTGGAAGCGGCTGCGGCTGCCGCTGGGCTTCCCGGAGGGCTCCAGGGAGACGTCCCTGGGTGCGGAGACGAACCTGCGGGCAGGGAGGCTCTTCCTCCTGCAGGAAACTTTTCTGGCCAAACTCCTGTGTGAGTGAGTGAGTGTGTGTGTGAGTGTGTGTGTGTGAGTGTGGCTCCCGCTCCAGGACACTGCTGCTTTCCAGCCTGTCTGGGCTACCCCAGGACGGTACCTCTGTCCAGCTGGGTCCCGCAGGCCTGCATCTCTCAGGAGCAGGTCTCCGGAGGCCTCCACCCAGTCTAAGCAGCAGAAGAAAAATTTTCAAGGGATCCTGTGAGGTTGCACGCCCTGGGTCCCCAGCAGCAGCAGCAGCTTTCGGGGATGAAGGAGACAGCTGTCAAAGTCAGAGAAGCCAGCCCAGGAGGGGCACTTACCCCTCTGTCTCTATTGCTAGAGGCCCTGACCAAGGCCAACTCAGTGTGTAAGGGAGAAAACACAGACTGCTCAAATAGCGTGTGTCTATCAGCGCTTCACTCCACAGACACTGGACACTAATTAGCCAAGGTCAGGGTGCGGGAGTGTGCGTGTGTGTATGTGTGTGTGTGTGTGTGTTTGTGCATTCTTTGTGCATGAATACCCCATGTAACCCCTTCACTCCTGCTGAGCCCAGAGGGGTCCTGCCCTGGGATGACCAGATGGCCAGGAACTCTGTTCTCCAGCTGCTTGCTTGATGGGATGAGCCTGAGAACACACAGGGAGTGAGATATCAGAACCTTTCCTCGACTTCCTGCCGCTAACCTCAGCCTGCCTCCTAGTAGCCAGAGGCGGGACCAGTGCACCCTTCCTAGATGGAAGGGGCAGATTGCTCTTGTCCTGGCCGGCAGAGCCCCTCTTCAGGTGGATGGAGTCACAGCACACTGCAGGAGTAGGGGACCCATCCATTGGGAGGAGGGGAACCCAACCCCCCTGGCTCTTCCCCCTTTGTCCCTGCCGGGCTGAATAAACCCAGCAGTGGCCTTTGGTCATCTTCTCTCTCTGGGCCGGGATGGGCATGAGGCTGGGTGGACAGAGCATGTGGACTTGGGAGGCGTGCGGACCTAGCTGTCAATCCTGTACCCACAATTTATTAGCTCTGGTCTCATCTCTGACCTTCATTTTCTCACCTGAGCAATTGAACTGATAATGTCAGTCTGTAGAGCTGGGTAAGGAGTAATACAAGAACATATATAAAATACTTCATCGAGCTTAGCACACAGTAAGCACTAAATAAATGTTGGCTGTTGGTTTCTGTGCTTCAGAGTCTTACTTCATTTTTTTTTCTGAGGGTTTGATTTTTCAGGAAAAGGGAGTGTCTCCCTGACTTCGTCCCTGAGTCACTTATTCATTCAACTGATCTTCACTTACTGAGAGCCTAACATGTGCCAGCCGGTCTTAATGTTGTGGGAAATAGCAAAACATGTCAGACGTGGCTCATGCCCGCCAGGAGCTTATAGTCTAGTAGGGCACAAGACGTATGCTCACATAACCACTAGCACAAACTTAGATGTGCCAAGTGCCACCTTGAGGGAAGGCCCTCAGGGTTCAAAGATCCTCTGGCCTCCTGTAGTGCTGGTAGGAGTGGTGGCAAAGAAACTGATCATAGCAGATTGGGATGGTTTTGGGGGACATTTCATGGAGGAGGCAGACTGGGGCAAAGCCTCACAGAATGGGTAGGAAAGCCAATCTGATGGATCTCACTCCTAGTGGAATTGGGGTGGTGTTCTGAGCAACGAGAGACTGAGGGCTTTGTCCCCAGTCTCAAATTTCGTGCTGGGGTGGGGCTGACTGACTTGGAACTTCAAACAAGGGCTTTGGAGAAAGCTTTCCACCAGGGTGAAGTGAGGCTGGTGAGGAGCTGGGCCAGAGCTGGGGTGGCTGAGTGAGCTTGAAAACCTGATTAGGCCAAGCTTCAAGGTTCCATCAGGCCTTCTGCCTGTGTGTGCCTTGGACAGCCTGGCCTCCCTCCACCCTGCTCCCTAAGACCCACACCACCACCCTCCTGCGCTGGCCCCCAGGCTTTTTCTGCTTGTGTTGCCATCTCCAGCCTGATTTCCTCTTGTCGCCTCTGAGCCCTGACCTCCTGGTGCTGGAGGGGATGGTGGTGGCAGGCCTACCTAGCTCCACTTCCTCAGGTGTGCCCGCTTACCTCTCCTCACTTGCCTGTCCAGCTCCCTCCTCTTCCACCTTCTGCTCTCTGTGGCAGACTTCAAACTCTGGATAGCCAGGCCCCTTCTTTGGAGGTCACCTCTTGCTATTACTGTCAGTATTGTGGCTACGGTGGTGGTAAGGGCAAAGTTAGGATCCTTGATGCCCTGGAGAGGTTCCTAGATCTTCTGGTAACACCAGAACAATGGGCTGGAAGCCACACTGGTCTTTGCAAGCTGAGAGCTGGCTCCACCAAGCCTTCCTCTCCCACCTTCAGCAAGGAGATTGCAATCCAGCCCTGACTTCTTGTGTGTTGGGAGGCCAAACTATCAAGAGGGTCCTACCCTCAAGATTCCCTGCTCTTACTGGCTGCCCCAGGCAACTTGGCATTGACCCTCAGGGTGTGGGAGAGACCCTGGAGGCAAGAATTGGATACACTTGCTCCATTACAGAAGCCCATGGGTAATGCTGCTGAGCTAGTAAGGACCTTACTACCATCTCTTCCTCACTTGGTGGGGCAGTAGCTCACCAGTCCCATCACTGTCCATACCCCGGGGGCCTGGCTTTGGACTTCAGGAAACCTCAGGGGAGGCGGTACAGCTGTGGAGGTGGAGAAGCAGTCTCTTCTCTCATCAAACCACTTCCCCCTCCCCAGACACTCAGTGAGTCACCCACCCACCTATGCCCCTGCTCCTTGAGTCACCTTCTCTTTTCTGTGCCCCAAGGGAAGAGGAAAATCATAATCTCCTGGGACTCCAGATGGAGGGGAACCAAGGAATCCCCTAGGACCAAGGCACACTCACGAATTCTAGTTTCTCCAAAGAAGATATTGGGGGGAGGGAGTAAAATTCCTCAGGCCACCAAGGACCCCCTAATCCAGGGGATTCAGCTAATATTTCACTTTCTCCTCTCCATTTCTATAGGTGCCCTTCCCTTTCTGGGGGGTGTGGCTGTGAAATAGGGTTTGAATATGCACTTATTTGTGTGGTTGAAAACACTAGGGCTGGCACAGGGAAGTAGTCAGGGGTGTGTTTTTGCACATTTGTAATGTGCCCCTGCTTCGTGGGCAAGTCTGTTCAATTGTGCATGAATGTGCTCCTCAGTACCTATAAGTGCGTGTGCAAATATGCAGCTGTGCTATAGTGTATACCTGTGATTCAGTGCATGCACAGGTTGTAGGAGCTGAGTGTGTCTTCCCCCAGCTGGGAGCTTGCATTTGAGTGCCATGACATGTCTGCTTGGCAAGCATAGCTTTGGAGATCCATCCCAACAGCCTGGCTCCTCTCCTCCCCCTAGAAAGAGATGCATTGCCATGCCCATGGGGAGGAGACTCTGGAGTCCTGAGGCCAGCCTGGAGGACGCCCATGGGATTGGCTCTCTCTCTTCTTTCCTCTTCTCCTCTGGC